AAGGCACAACGCGTCGAAAGGAAGGGCTGGCGGCGTGTTCAAAGCTTCCTTGGCACGCCGAAGTGCCGTGTCTCTGTGCTTTCGCACGCTTGGATACCGACCAAGAACCGACGCCGCGTGTATGTGTTCAGCGAGTGCAATGTGCGTGAAGCTGTTCGTGCCTCTGGATCAGCGTCTTTTTCCCTCGCGGTTTAGGAACGAGCTTAATCCAGCGTCCACTAGCGACGGAAGATGGGGAGAAGGTACGTCTTTTTTTTTCGTCCTTAGACGATTTACACAATACCGTGCACAACAGCTCCTCATCACTGATCAATGCTGGCTTATTATCAACCTACTTAATTGTACTTGACGTTTGAGCGCGGCTCGCCTAATTGTAAATGCGGTCAACAGATTGCACACGACCATATCGGCCGCGCTTCAAAGATTTTCATTCTCGCCGTCTTGTACTTTTGCTTTCGAAAACCACCCTGGCTCCACAACGTTGCCCTATTCGTGCTCCCACGGAATCTATTAGAGTAGATTTGGGACATAGCCATGGTTAATATAGTACATAAGAACACGTACAGATCTCCCCCTTTTATTGATAGCAACTCACCGGAACAGCTGGGCGATCCAGAACTCCGTGGCCGATATATATAAATGATATAAAGGCATCTACGCGCGACACACGTTCAGAACTTTGGCGCGGCGTCAATTCTTGACCGGTATCCAAGCGTGCGAAGGCACAAAGATGCATCACTCGGCGTGCCAAGGAAGCTTTGATCACGCCGCGACACCGGCGACACGTTTTCGACGAGTTGTACCTTTTGATACGGCTTCACGCACATTGCACTCGCTAAACACATTCACACAGCGTCGGTTCTTGGTCGGTATCCAAGCGCGCGAAGGCACAGAGACACGGCACTTCGGCGTGCCAAGGAAGCTTTGAACACGCCGCCAGCCCTTCCTTTCGACGCGTTGTGCCTTTTTCCTGCGACACTGCACTTTCGTAAAATTTTCCACGTGTTCACAACGGCAAGTTTCAACAATACACAGAGTCTTCAAAAAACTTCTTCGGCGAATGACGACGAACGAGTAGAAAACGTGTCGTCACCACGCTGGAAAACCGCAGCAAAGGCTAGCAAAAACGGCAAATCGTATCCCAAGCGAGTGAAGCCCGGTGGCTTCACTTGCGGGAGCGGCAAGCGCGATCCAGCAATTGTCATTGAGATCAGTGCTCCTGGGCAACATAAATATAAAGATATATATTGAACATGATTGTAAACCTGAGACTGGGGCAGAAAAGAGGACACATCAGACGGTAGAAAAAGACGAGGCAACGTCCCAATTCGTACTATTTTTTTTCATGATGCATTATATTTGCTATTAGTCTTAGAAAACAGTAAACCATTGATGAATTATCTAAAAATTTGTAAGGTCACGTGACATATTAACCTTAAAACAACAATGAAATATAACCTCTTTATTTTTATATCCTATATTTACTCATAAAAGAGCATAATATGTAGATAAAAACAAATTATCTCCTTATATTATAAGTCACATGACCTTTTTGCGTGGATGGAGCCATAGAGATCATACATACTAACTCTAGAGGAAAAGGTCCGCCATTTTCCCATGCATTCTGGCTGCCGCAAGCGGCGGAGCATGCAGGCAGACCCTCTGGGTCCCACATGGTTACCAACTGCCTTCGATTTCACAAATATATCATCAGAGCAGTGTCATGAACTTCAACAATCCACGAACTTACGGTGGAAAGATATTCGCGCTCCTTTGGAAGCTTTCTTTTTGCATAGTACGCAGATTTACGGCCTCCCGTCAACACTAAACTAAACCAGAGAACCGGCTCCGGTTATCTGGTTTAGTTTCGTATTTCCGGGCGTAGTTGGCCGCGCCTGGAAATACGAAACCGGGCAACTACCACATTATCGAGATTTTAACAGAAGGGAAGTTAATGCAGCGTAATGAGTATGCTGCTTTTTATAAACCTTAGAATAGCTCAGAATTTAGTTTGAAACGTTAAATCATCACTGTTTATATTGCTGAGAGTTTTCAGTCTTCGCGATTACCATTGCGACTGTCGTCCTTCAGCTGGCAACATTGGTTTCTTTCTCTCATGTTCTGTCGCTCTCTTTCGCGATCTTTCATTCGGGACCCAGGATGTCGGCGCGCGGGATTAGCCACTCCTCCTCACCCACCTTTACCCCCCTGGATGGAGCCTTATCTCCTCCCGACTTGGCTACGTCCCCGCGCGTGGATGTAGCCTCGGCCAAAGTTATAAGTGATTTTCTGAAAATTTCAATTGGAAAATGGCGGAAGACGGAGTTTTCCAGTGGAGTTTTCAAACACATGGTGCTCTATGGCACCAAAAACCGAAAACAGGCAAAAACGGGCTTCATTTTCCCATTGAACTTTTCAGAAAATCACTTATATCTTTTGATTAAATTATCGGATCGGGCTGAAACTTTGGCATATGGTTGTGACCTATAGCTTTAATTTTGGGCGGAGAATGAGCGTTTGGCGATGCCTAGTTTATTTTTGCAATAAAAAATACTGTGTAAATTTTCTTTTGTGACACCCTGTACTTTACTGAAGTCTGGAGAATTGTTATGTGGCACAAGATTGGTGGGTGAGATGATGTAGAGCAAAATTTAACGGGTTAGGTCGTAGTTGTTTTCAGGAGAAACGGTTTTCGATACTGTGCAGGAACACTGTGTGTGTGTGTGTCACTGATCTCTATGACAATTGCTGGATCGCGTTTGCCCGCTCCGCGAATGCGGTCACTGGCGGCCATCTTTAGGTAGAGTTATATCACCTCTAGCCAATGTAAGCTGCTGCAGCCGCTATCATCCATCCATGGCAGATAGCGTTTTGGCAGGTGGGTTGGCAGCAACGTTACTAAAACACTCAGTTGGGAAACTCCCATAGAGACAGCCCTAAAAATATGGCCCCAATCTGTCGCCGAGCACCGAGCTAATGACGAACACAACGCCACCATTTCTCCCGCAGCGGCCACTCGAGAAACTGCACGTGACTTCTATTTTTGGCTTTGACAGCGGTGAACCGCCGTATCTCCGGCGGACGCGCCGCGTTGAAGTACTGAAGTTAAAATGGACCTAGGTCTGGACGCGCTACCTGAAAGGCCCGCTGAGGCATGGTTTTATAAAAACAATATTAATTGTTCCGCAAAACCTTGCGAACTAAAGATGATAAAAACATCACGCGCCCATCATTTGGTACTAAACTCCAATAAATTTCATACAAAAAGAGTCTTTTCCGTTTGTTTTTACGCAAAAAACGGGCTTTCAAAACGCTCAAGGTGACCACAGTACAGACAAATGATAAAGAGTGGCGCTGTTGTCGCATTTAGCTCGGTCTCGGTGGACGCCAGCGGCCCAGGGTTCGACGGCGAGTTTCCCAACTGAGTGTTTTAGTAACGTTGGACCAACGTTACTAAAACACTCAGTTGAGAAACTCCCATAGAGACAGCTTTGAAAAAGTGGCCTCAATCTGTCTCCGAGCACCAAGCTAATGACGAACACAACGCCACCATTTCTCCCGCAGCGGCCACTCGAGGAACTGCACGTGAATTCTATTTTGGCTTTAATACAGCGGAAGAGGTTACATGGGTGCCACCCCCGTCTCCCCGGCGGACGCGCCGCGTCGACCTACCGAAGTTAAAATGCACCTAGGCCGGGACGCGCTACCTGAAAGGACCGCTGAGGCATGGTTGAATAAAAACAATATTAATTGTGCCGCAAAACCCTGCAAACTAAAGATTTTAAAAGCATAATCGCCCCTCTATTTGGACTAAACTCCAATAAATGTTACACAAAAAGAGTCTTTGCCGTTTGTTTTTACGCAAAAACAGGCTTTCAAAAAGCTCAAGGTGACCACAGTACAGACAAACGATAAAGAGTGGCGCTGTTGTCGCATTTAGCTCGGTCTCGGTGGACGCCAGCGGCCCAGGTTACGACGGCAAGTTTCCCAACTGAGTGTTTTAGTAACGTTGGTTGGCAGGCTGCGATCAAAATAGCGTGGGTGATATTGCGTGCTTGATTAAAATTATTTGACGAAACATGTTTCTGAAACCCGGCGTGAACAGCAGTCCGGTTTTTGAGGACCTGGTAAAAGTTTCACGAAATCGCAGCACCGGAAGAAAAGCAGCACAGCACGTATCGAAAGTCGCATCGAAAGAAGCATCGAAAGCAGACGACAGTGCAGACGACGGTACGGAGTCTGCTTTTGATGCGAGCTGCGCTGCTTTCCCCCGGTGCTGCGCTTTCGTAGAACTTTTGTCGGGTCCTCAAAGATGAGGCTACCGTTCACGCCGGGTTTCAAGAATCTGCTTCGTCGAACAACTTCAATCAAGCACGAAATGTCACCCACGGTACAGTGTACTAGATCTATGGCTATTTTTATGGCAGCCTGCCGCCATTGCGCTGTCCGCCATATTACTATGATGGCTAGAGATGATATAACTCTACCTAAAGATGGCCGCCAGTGACCGCATTCCGCTCCATAGGAGGAGCTGGTCAAACGCGATCCAGCAAATAGACATAGAGATGAGTGGTGTGTGTCAACGTGTCAACAACGTTGGTGTGTGTGTGGGGGGGGCGGGGGGGGGGGGGGGGGGAAGCAGATGTCACACATCCAAACCACCTGAACCCCCTCTCCACCACCAAAAAAAAAAAAGGAAAGGGGGGGGGGGGGCTATTTCGGACAAGGGTTTCGGAACCTTTTCTTTGCCTACGTCATTGTCCCATGGTAGGTGGCGCAAGTTACCGTCTATTATTGATAGACGATGTATATTTATTTGTTATTGAATTAATAGTGCTGCTGGTCGCGATAATTTAGCAAAAATAACATAAAAATTACGCACGTAAAATAACTTAAAAATAATAAACAATAAGGATATATGAAATTAGAGGCGATTATATGTATTATACAGTTTAGGTCAGGCGGCGCAAGTTACCGTCTATTATTAGGACTACGACCTATTTTACCATATATCTACCCATTTTATGTATACAGCTAGCGCATGTGTCTTTGCCTCTCTGCGTCTTCGATGTGTTTGTTGGTGGTTTTGGTGAGCTTCTCAATTTTGTGTAAAATTCTAGCTTTCTGAACCAGTTTGGTTGCTAAAGAACAATGACTGAAGAAAAAGAAGCAAAGGAGGAGGTGAGGCAGTGTCGAGTTGTTTTCTTTTATTAGCCACTCCTGTTGTCTAAAGAGTGGCAACTCGGCGCTTGTGGTCCGTTCGTCATCGTGTCTGACTTCCAGCGTTGTCCTCATACATTATCCCTTGCATTTCCGATTTTCGCAGCGATTAAGGAAGTTTAGTATGCGGCGTACTTAAGATTAAAGCACATTTTCTTCCCGGCTTGATTTTATAAGCTCCACAACAGTGCTACAGCTGTTTCATGCTCGTCGCGTGACTCTTTACTTCAGACGTTTGAAGGTTTGTACGTTTGTACCCACCGATAGGTCTAGAACGACGGGGAGGTGCTTCGGCTTTCCCGCTACCAGAGCGAGCTTAGTACTTTTGATAATACTTCGTCGTCTTGTGAGCTTCGAGCGTGCATGCGCAGCCAAAGCACGGCGGAAGACAGTGAGCGTGCGCCGAAAAAGACACCCACCAGGAAGGGTATGTTAGACAAATGTTTCGTTTTTCCTAAAAAGAAACAGAAGTGACCGAAGTGACGATATCGCGTCTGATTGGCTATAGGCTCAAATGACGAAAGAGGGAACTTTCGTCATTTGAGCCTCTAACCAATTAGACGCGGTATCATCACTTCCGTCACTTCAAGTTACTTTTTAGGAGAAACGAAACATTTGTCGAACATAGCCCCCCTGTTCTCATCCTCCCAGTGACTACACATGGCAAGGCTACTCCGCCTTCTTTTCAGGTGGCGCAGGAGTTTCGAATTGACCCAGAGTCCGAGCTGCGTTTTGAAGTGGAAGGCAAGGAAAAAGTCACTGTGGAGGTACGACTACTCCGTGTGACACTGTTAAGGCTGGTTCACACACTCGCAACTGCTTACGACAGTGTGCATTAAAACCCCTTCTGATCTCTCTTGTTGTTTGCACGACGAGAGCACACGCTGGCGCCATCTATGGGGTAGCCGTGGAACACCTTCGGTTTGCGTACATTTCCCATCTTTTTCGCGCATTATTCTTTCTTCCTTGGCTCAATAAACTTTTGACCATGACAACCGTTTCCCAAAGATGGTATGTACATTTGATCTCGCAAATCCTGCAAGGTCTTCTCTCTAGTGAAACACAGTTCCAGGGTGACCTCATAGGTGGCGCCAGCATGTCGGTGCCTTCTCTCCTTTTGAGATATCACGAGAGTTTGGTCCTAAGCAAATGCAAGTGTGTGAACAGGCCTTTAGTGCAAACACAACATGGACAGTTTTTGTATTTCACTTTAGGGAGAGAGAAACTTTATTTTAACCGAAGAGTGGAAGCTCTTCGATCTTAGGGAGTGTTAGAATAACGCATGCAATTTTAGCGCACGCTAGTGCTAAATTTAGCGCTTGTATTAGCGCACGCGACGCAAGAGAGTTTTAGAACAGCGTTTCTCCGTCGCGACGCAACAGCCCAAGCATCTCGCGCTTGCGACGCCACCAAGATACAGTAACAATTTTTATTTTACTCACGAAATGCTGTGACTTTAGAAAAAAGCAAGTTTTTTGGTCCAGAGTAGCATTTTAGATTTTTTTAAACATGAGAATGCGACACCTGCGGTTGACCGGTCGTGTCCGCTGGCATCGCCTCGGCAAGAGAGGTCTCGTGTACTGATCTTCGCACATTGTACCTTTGCCGAGAAATGTTTGTGCGTCGCAAGCATCAAGTTGCCGGTGATCGTTGCCAAACTGAGTACAATGTCGTCCCGTATTCAAAAACTTAGTTGCGAGGATGCCGCCGACGTCGCATTCATGACGCCGCCAAAGCAGCCGCCTACATAATCAAGGACATAATCCTGGAAGCCGCCATTTTTTAAACTCTGCTTGTCTTGGCTTTAGCCAACTTCTCATCACGAATCCTCCTTGGAGAAGCGCAAAGACTCTTTGCGTACGCAGGCTATTTCCGAGAAATAGCGCTCGCTAATATTGCGCACGCAAAGCGAAAAACCTGGTTTGCGTTCGGAGCATGCGCAGCAGCGACGACACTATTCTTTGCGGACGCAAAGCTTTAGCGTGCGCTATTCTAAAACTCCCTTTTAAAAAAGGTGGTGTCAGGCACAAAAACTTACCACTTTGGTAAACGCTCCAATTAGCACTTACCACCATACTGCCGTAAAACTTAACGTATAATTTGCAGAATTTCCTAAATTTTAATAGTGGGTGTACGAAGTGAGCGCTTCTACAGTATTTTACAGTGGTAATTTGACAACAACCTTTCGATTAATAAACAAAAATACAGAAAATGCCAATGATTGCTTGGTCACTCTAACAGCATTGTGCTATGCACCAAGTAAGCCACTAGTTACAATTTTGTCAAACTTACATTAATTTGCATGGATTCAAAGAAGACGCTCACTGAGACAAAGGACGAACGTGTGACCTTACATGGAGCAGAACTTTCAAACCGCATTATCGATTCGAAACATTCAATATAATATGTAAATACATTTCCACTGACTGTAAAATTTGTATGTTCTATCACAGTTCGGAACACCGTTTAATTGAATCGGCAGGGGACCCAAGGACGATTGATTAGCCCGAGTGTGTAGCCAAAGTGGGCGATATGCAACGATATTGGCATGGCTATGTTGACAGATTAAAAGGCCAGCTTTCCTCTGCATCTGACAGTTCCACGCAACTTTATCACCAGTGAGCTTACCTTCCATGAGCTCTTGGGTTCAGTGTATTGTTTTGTAAGCTTAAAAGGGGCCCTGCAAGGACTTTTTTACTGGTTTTTAATTTGCACCAAACCTGAGCGCACTGAACATAGTAACTTAATGAAACTTTTCTTCTCTCGAATTTCGCTTTATTTAAAAAGTTATAGGCAAAATAAAATGACAAAAACAAGCAAAAAATAACCTCCTTCATGACGTCCTTGGCCGCTTGAGTGGCCATGAACTAGAGGAGGGGTAGTGAGCTCAGCGAGTGCGCACGGCTGCCGCACTTTGTGTCGACGGCCCGAGAGGGCGCCACTGAAGCATGTTCTGGATAGGCTGTATAAAGCGGGCAGCCAGGGCGGCTCGCATTGCATTTGCTGCGCGGTTAAACACTAATACGGCATGACACTTTATTGGCTACAAACGACAGCAAACACGGGGTAAAGGTCGGTTCAGAATGGGATCCACTTCGCGCTGCCATACCGCCAAAGCTTCTCGCCAAAGGCCTTCGGAACGCTCGGTACCGGTCGGATCCTCGACTGCAGCGCCGCCGCATACATCCGGGACCTCTCTACGCTCGCCATTCGTCAGTGTCTTATCCCACTACACCTTTCTAGTATGTGCCGCCTTTTCCACCACTTGGTGGTGGGTATGTCGACGGGTCATTTCTTGTTTCTGTACTTAATAAACTTCATTTGTTTCTTTTTTGATCTAAAATACTGAACAAAAACTACTTTTATAAATAATTGAAACGGCTCACACCACTTATATTTTGTATTTCGACTAAAAAGAAGCTTTTCGCGGCTCTGACTAGTAGTAAGCGCAGGACCAAAGACGTCACATTTCGCGCGCTTTCGGCACCGTGGGTCGCCCCCGTAGATGGAGGAGGTTTCCGCGTCGTCCGGTTAAAGTATGACGCACTGATATTTAGTTACTCTCTCCGTGACCGCTGGCTTGCCCGAACCCCAAGATACGTGGAAACCGCAAAAAAGGTAGATGCTTAAATATGATTGCAGGGGTCCCTTTAAAGCAATTACTTTCTTTGGTTTGTTTAGTAGAGAAGAGATAGATGGGGTGTGTCTTCACAGTGCTGAAAGTGACAGTTTACCATTTTTTCTCTAACAAGCTGATTGCCTCACTGGCATTGAAATTCTGTGCAGCTCTGTGTCACAAGGTATAGGGTTTGAGCTCTGAGTAGTCCTTGTCTCTCTTTTTGAGTGTCACTCATAATCCTATACTTGGTGTCAGCTATTTCATGCTATGTTGTCAAGGCTAGCATAGCTTCCGGAGTGCTGCAGCCCTGCACTCTTGCGTCTCATTTGTACGCACTCGTGCAGTTAGCTTTGATACATTGGTGCACTGCTGAAGCTAGGCTAGTCTCGACAATGTGGCACAAAATAGTTGATGCCGAGTTTACTAGTTGCTTTGAGGTGTAAAGCCCAAGTATCTTTTTTGTTTTCTCTAACAAGCTATTTTGATTTTCCAGTTAAAATCTGGCCTGGCTGAGATCTTCGGAGTTGAGCTTGTGAAGAACAAGAAGTTTGTGTTCGGATCGGGAGCCAAGATTGCCGTGTTTACGTGGCATGGCTGCACCCTTGAAATATCCTTTCATTGCCTTGACGAGTCGGACTCTTGGTTACCGCCATATTAAGGAGGGGCCAGGTATTTTTGCGTCAAAATGTACCTCATTTGGAACAGGGCTCGTAACCAAGGTTTTTCTGTTTTGGGATAAAACTGGAAAACTCTTAATCAACTCCTCACAATAACAAAATTGACCATAATTTTCCTCTTTAGAGGACCTTGATTCGACTCTGGTGACTCCTTCCTATCTTTCAACTCCTCCCCGACACGCGCGGTAACAGAAAACGAGAGGGTTTTCTCGGTGAACCGAAGACCACAAGTGACAACGGGTACTTTTCAGGGTCATTTCTAGTAACGAACATTGTGTAATTAAGGAAGAACCTGCCGACACTGCAACCAACGCCAGGCGGCACAAACGTCTAGGAAACATTTCAGTGGAGTACTACTAGCTCTCCGCGACGCAAAAAAACTTATATGCGCGGTGCGGAAGACGCAGTCGGCCTTTCTCATCAACAGCCACCTTACCGACGTGCTCCGCTTATTGCCCTTTCCTTAACTCGGTTCACTTGTGTGGGAAGACCGAGGTTGCCTATGTTGCCAAGGAGACGCCCATGATCTTCTATGCCAACATCCACGCAGTTCTGGAGCAGATGCGACAGAAGTGCGAAGAGGACGACTCAAAGGGACCTACGGTAACGATTTGCAGTTGCCCATCATGGCAGCAGAAACTGCATTGATGAGGATAGTTTCTGAAATAAGAGAGAGAATTATGTGTGCATTTTCACTACCCCAACAGCACACACGGTTCCATAGATGCTATCCCAGGTCGTCATAACATCCCATGAATGCCCCTCGTACATCCCCAGGACCGTCCGTGCCGTCTAAGTAGATGAGTCAATTGCTGGAGCTGCAAGCAGTGTGCAAAGGACAGGGGAGATGCTGAGAAAAAAAAATTTTAACAGCAAGAGCTGGAGGTTTTTAGGATTCATAAATGTAATTATAAATGATCTTTATTATTTTCCTAGAAATTTTTGCGATTAGAAGTCGGGCCAGTGTGCAACCCAAACCCGCAATCTCGTGGAGCCGAAACTTTCGTGTCGGTGATCTTCTAGTAAACAATCGAGGAAGGGCTTAGAAAATCCCTTACCTGCCTCAGAGCTCTCTCATGCCACTTGCCATATTTTCCAGGCTTAAATCCATAGGCTGTTTGATATGTGCTTAAAGGTAAAACTTTTGTGGGGCACAGAGCACTGTTGACGTTACATTTCGTCTGCTACGAGCCAACTTCTTTTTTGCTTGAATAAAAGTTTGTGGTAAAACGTCAAGAAAATTTCACCCATTAGCTTCTTAACCCACCGAGGAGTAATACTACATTATTTTCTTCTCAGAGCCTGCGAAATCAAACGAAAGAAGCAAAATTTGTATGTTGATCCCATGCATTCCACCGGGTGAATAAATGAGAATAGTGGACCTCCCTACTCAGCTGGGAGTAGCGGGGAGTTCATGCACATGCGCTCACACCTCTCCTGTGCTGCGGGATGATTGGCTCACTCGAGAGTGGGGCATTACTGCGGCGAGATCATGAACTGGCCAAACACTCCCAATATACAAATCTAATGCAGACTATACAACAAGTTTTTTTTGTGTTTTATTAAAGTTTGTTTGTTATGATGAGATTTGACTTGTGAATGGCAGTTATGTTAACAATTATTTCTCTGTGATAAAAGCATCTTTGTGTGCTAATGAGGCAGGCATTTTTCGAGGTATGCTGATTATTGGAATGTTTTACTTGTAGGATATACACTAGCTGCAGACAATGCACCGGACGTGGACTATCTAAGGAATAAATTTTCTCTTAAGCCGATATTTGCCCCTTTGGAGTTTGGAAAATATTGTGGTTGCAAGATAACACATAGTATTTGGAAGTGCCAAGACATTCCCGGTTTCATCTGTGATGTTGTTGTTCTACTCAGGTCATGGTGGTGGGCCCCACAGACGTGGGCAAGAGTTGTCTTTGTCGGATTCTGCTCAACTATGCGGTGCGCCAGGGCAGGAGACCAATATTCGTGGACCTCGACGTCGGGCAGGTAAGCTCCCCCCCCTCCTAGAACTTCCCGTCGGAAGGTTGGGAGAGAATTTGAGTAGCTTTGTTTGAAGATCGGCTGACTTCGCGCTTTTACAGCGGAGCTGTTTAGGGCTAGTTTCCCCAGGATCGTGTCCACCAGCAAAGAAAAGGTGACACTGAACTCTGGACAGCTACCGCCATCTATGAACGACGGCGGAAACCAGGCAACCAGCTGGTTGCCACCACCGCTCATAGATGGCGGTAGATGTCCCGAATTCGGTGTCATGTGCACAGCAGCGCGAATGGTTCCGCAACTGCCGCGAGGCCGCTATTGCCTCAAGTTCCACTGCGTCGAGCGCTTCAGATTCCCTTGCGGAAGAAGAGCAGATCGCCCGCCTGGAAAGCCACCGCCGAGACCAGAAGCTACAGCTCCGCTGCTCTTCCCTCACCAGAGTGGAAAGGCTGAAAGTTTTTTGTAAGCAAAGCAACACAAGTGTTGTAGCACAATTAGTTGAGCAAAGCACGAGTAAAGACGTTATTTATCTTTAGTCATTGCAGCCAGCAGGAGACTGGGGAGCATCAGCAAGCCCCACTTTTGAAAGTGCTTTATTTATCTATCCATTGTAGGCATTCTTGCAATAAAGTATAAGCCCGGTACGGAGTATGTTGGTGAAAGCAATAGGACATTCGGTTGTAGGGCTGGTTTTTGTTAAAGTTTTGTCCCCAAAATACTTTTTTTTAATTGTGCATTTCTTTTGGCATAGTTGGAAATGATGTGCTATTTCTACTTTTCAGGGTCACATATCTATACCGGGAACCATTGGTGAGTTGATTTTATCAGTACAGTGTTTTCACATCGGCGTTTAGCCCAATGAAAAGGCAGCTACATCAGGTCTAAAGACTGCTCATGCTTTCCTTATAGCAGCCAAAAGTAACCCAACTTTTATTGAAATAGGGGTAATAATGCGGGTTAGCTGGTGAATGATCCTACTTATGAGACCCCGAGACAAGGGAGGAAAACAACAAAGAAAAAGAGAAAAAGGACAACGCAATTACTTCTCAAGTATCTGCAAGAGCTGTGCTTGCGTCCTGACAGATGACCAGTTGACGGCGAGAACTAATCGTCGTGTGATTCGATCAGGAAATCTGCATTTTAAGGCTCTGAATTAAGACATTGTTGCGCTGTTCCTTTTTCTTTTTCTTCTTCTTCTTTGTTTTTCTCCTTTGTCTCAGGGTTTTATAAGTATGATTGATTTTTATCTTTGATTTGAAATGAAAAAATTCTGAAAGCATTTGGCTCCTACTTATGTTCTGGATACCCTGTTGATGTGACCATATCGGAGTTAAATGCTGATTACTTCTGTGTTTGGCTTACCATAGGAGCTCTGTTGGTGGAGCGCCCGGCAGAAGTGGAAGAGGGCTTCTCACAGCAGGCACCCCTGGTGTACCACTACGGCCACAGCAGCCCGGGGACCAATGCCACCCTCTACAATGTCCTAGTCTCGCGCCTTGCCGAAGTCATAAACCTGCGCGCCGAGAGCAACAAAAAGGGTGAGGCCTGGAGTAACCAAATGAGTTTTGCTTAGGGTATGGGCACTCCATTCCCCAGGGGATTAAAAACGGGAGCGGAATGCAGTAAATCGTAAGTGCTGACATCGGTGACAACAAGAGGAAGGAGGGGGAAGAGAGCGAGGGAAGAGAAGAAAAAGGAAGCAGACGATAGGTTGGGCGTGTTCATTTTGCCGCGACGAGAGCGCTTGCAAACTTTTTTTCTTATATATACAGTGCACGACGTTGGTCTTTTTTTTACTAAGTAAGTACAAATTAAAGCTAGGAAAACGGTAAGTACAGACCAGGGTTCTCTTCAAATATTTTTGAGATACGGACATCCAACAGTTTCCAGGCTGTTGCAGGAAGGAAGAGGAGGCGATTGGTGCAACTTTTGGCATTCTCGGCACTTTCTTTGCCACGCAGCAGTGATTCTGTTTGCAGGGATTATGCACTTCTGTCACGTAGTGCCACGCAGGTCTGCGAAATGCGACAGTCTGAAGTATTGTGCGTTTTTGGAATCAGCATCATCTTGTCTGTCGGAGGTAAAATATAGAGGTGGGCTGGACATAGTAGGGATGGGCAGACGGCCAGACTGGTGGGTGGCAAGACCACTGCCGCTCACTGTGGGAAGAACCCTGGTACAGACCTTGGGCAATGTTTTCTCGCTTCTTTGTGTATATTAAAGCGTCGCAAGTGATCTGGGCCCATCGGGATCACCATTGGGACCACCAATGTCCCCTTCTATGCCCGGCCATTCCGAAGCGGCTGCAATGCGTGTCACTAATGGTAGACGGCGAATATTCTTCTGACCCAGATACGCTGTGCAATCAATTCGCCAAGTTCTTCTTTTCAACCTATACATTGGTTGTTGTTGAAAACAGACATTTTACAAGTTGTTCGTAACTATATTTTTCCTCCTACAATTAGCCTTGCCGACAATGTGTGGGCAATTCATCAGCTTCCGTCTGAAAAATTATGTGGCGCTGATGGCGTACGAAATTTTATAATTAAGGGGTGTGTCGATACCCTGGCTCCCCATTCTACACCACATATTTTCTATATTGCTGAAGCAATCTGTTTTTCCAACTGCCTGAATGGAGGGCTTAGTAATCCCTCTTCCTAAATCAGGCACCTCAATGAATATTATATACTATAGGCCAATATCATTGCCCTCCGCATTTGCAAAGGTGTCCGAAAAAATCATCCATAAACATTCGAGACATTGTTTAAAGCATGTAATACCGAATGCACAGCATAGTTTCATGAGTGTCAGGTCTGTTGAAACAAATATTGTGTGTTTTTTTTAAATGATATTGCCCCCAGAGTCTGTTCTCGAGAGCAAACTGATGCAGTGTATTTTGATTGTCGCAAGGCATTCGACCGTGTAAAACATAAGCTACTGTTACATAAACTTTCTATGTTTGGTCTCAATAATGAATATTGTTTTTATTTATCTTACTGCAGGAGAGAACTGTGTCAGTTACGCAATTGGAAAGTCTTTCTTTTTCCTCTACCATCTGGTGTACTCCAGGGTTCCTATCTTGGACCTCTTTTTTTAAATTTTATTTGTTAAAAATATCTAAGACGTCATTCGTCGTTCAACTCTTTTGCAATTTGCAGATCTCAAGATCTATAAAAATATTTCGACATTAAATGATTGTGCTCTACTCCAGCAAGATATCGATGCCATCTGTCAATGATGTAAAGACAATGGGCTTGATCTTAACACTGGAAAAACAAATGTGGTATCTTTCACGCATAAGACTAATCCAACCCATTTTGTGTACCACTTAGAAGATTTGTTGATTACTCACGTTAGGATTGTGAAAGATCTTTGTGTGATGCTTGACTCCAAACTTAACTTAACTCGCGGTAATTTTAACTCGCACACGCCATACGTTGTGAGCGCATGTTTTCATCTCCTCGGTCTAATTTCAAGATTTAGTACCCTATTTTCCGGACTATAAGTCACACTTTTGTATATTCAGCCGTTTTTTTGCGGAAAAGTAGGTATCCAAGTTGCACCTTTATATAAGTCGCACCTCTTTGCTTGGTTCATGCAATGAGTTTTTTTCATTTTACGCGCGTTGGTATTGCGAGATCGGAGTTGCGCACAATCGGCTAGATCGTGCCTACCAATTGACGCACAACTTTGACCTTTAAACTCGCGAGAAATGCCCATAGCACGGCACTGTCTGGCAGGGGCAGTCGAGTGACTTGCAGCAAAAGGACGTAAAAGGCGAAAAATGAGAAGGTTATCTTTTTTATTCGAGCGTACACATGCTAAGTGAACGAAAGTTTAACTTGCCAGACACTCAAGAACCAAGCTTTGGACCACTAGGCCTATCCTAGGCCAAGTCATTGAGGTGACATGAGCATTGATGCGGAGGCAGATAGATAAATCTTGATACTCTTCTTTGATTACTACAAAAAGATTGGCTAGCCGCAATCCTTCCTTTTAAACGTAGCAACACGGCTGGAGCATGGAAGATAAGAACTACTCATAAAACAAAAACTAAGAAAGATGCGAAAAAATTTTTTGCAATGCGTGTATACCAATCTTTTACCTTTCAGTATTATTGGACTGATGCAAAAGAATACAGAACGACGGCTGAATTAAGCAATGTCGATCACATTCTATAAAAGTTTTATTTTCACTGTATTGCCTATCCACATTGAGCCGCTTCGGGGAAACCGCAAAATTTCTCGCTTTCCGAGTCGGTTATGAAACGTGTAGGAGAGTGCGGTGACAGCAGTGCCTCCTGGAAGGGGCAACACCACCTGTGGCTACATAGTTCCGGTGCTTTACGAAAAATGGCATGCAGCACATAAAAAAAATTGTGTCCCGCAAGGTACCACCGGGATTTGCACACAATGTCCACCAAATCCGATGGACGACTACGAAATGTTGATGGGAAATGTTGACGAGAGACACCCACCTCCAGGGATGGGCAAAATACATGCAAATATGTATTGAAATACAAATACAAAATACTTCGTCAAAAACATATTTAATTACAAATCTAATTACATTTCCAAAAAAGCATTTAAGTACGAGATACAAATACAACCAAATGTATTTGGTCTCCTCCAAATACTTTTCCAAATACATTCCTCAAAATTTGCGTCAGTGACTTCAGGGCACCTGCAACGGGTTTCTGGGTGTCTCATTTTAATTTTGCATCGCACACTCGGGAGTTAGTGTGCAAGGCTCTAGTAACGTAATAGAAATATAATCACAAAAAAAAAAAAAAATGTCATCAGCTTGGATGTAATATGTGAAAAAAGTACAGAGCTTCAAGCAGCTTTTTTTGTCGATTACATTTTGGTATAGTAGACCAACAAAGAACCGAGACGACCAAGACGCGCAGCACAAGCTAGAGAATTTTTTATTGTTGCAACTTGCACCAGTTACGAAAATCTAGACGACCCGCGAATTTAGAATGTTCCAGGCAAAATTATGGATGTAAATCAGGCTGGAAAGCATCACAAGTTGTCACAGGCACTTATTTAGCCAGTCTGCCTGTGAATGTCGATTTCGTCACTATTCTTGCCCTGGACTAGCACCGCAATCACAAAGTCACTAAACGCTTATGCTTGATTGAGAGACACTGCATTTGGTGCAGAACGTAGTTTTCTTCCTGCTCTGGACAGTGACAATAAATTTGAGGGATGTATTTTCGCCCACAAAATTGTATTTAATTACACCTGTATTTGAAATACCCACGTTTTAGTATTTAAATACACACGTCAAATACATTACATACCTGCCAACTCTTCCAAATTTTTCATAAAATGTATGAATAGGGACTAATTTTACGATTTTATGAATCTTGCTTCAAATCTTATGAAAAATATATTAAATTTTTTTATTTCATTTTATTGTTATTTTTTTTTGTTTGGTTTTTGTAACTCCGTTGTTGGCGGTATCTTGCACCGCCACAAGTGGGCGTTAGGTACCGTCCACAGCAGCGTCGTGGTTTTTACTATCCGTCTATCCGGTGGCCACGGATCGAAAACCAATCCAAAGTTCAAAGTTTTTGTTTGTGTGTTCAGCGGTGAACGGGTGCACGTTGGTTCAACGTGTTCAGACGTTGTTGGGCCTCGTTTCGGCCAGTTTCGAGGCGAGAAGTGCGGCGTCTGTGTTTTTTGCACGTGTAACTGCAGCATTCTCCTGGTCACTGTGGTTTCGCGGCGCAATACTGAACTCCAAACCTCAAAAGAGGTACTTTCAGGTGTTTCTGAAGTCCTACGCGTCAAAATTTCCGTGCTTCATGTCGCCCAAAAAGCGAGAGATGTTTGGATTCTGTAGCACGGGCACATGTGATGTAAGCGTTTCGCACGCTGGCCAGGCTGACATTGAGCTGCACATTGCTTTGCGTACCCCCCCCCCCCCCCCCCCCCCCCGTTGCGGCCGCGGGACTTTTAGGAATTTGAAAATCCACGGGTTGGCAGGTATGACATTACCCAATTTGTGATTAAATACAAATGCAGAATACACAAAGTATTTCAAATACATATTTCAAATACTTGTATTTAAGATACTGCCCATCCCTGCCCACCTCAAAGATAAAATGTTGTCTCTCGATGCCCGGGAAGGAGACGGAGCAAGCGAGAGCTATGACATAACGGTGGATTTTTCTGGCGGGCCTCCGGGCAGCATTGCAAAAGGTGCAAGTGTAAGCTCGAAAAGGCACACCGAGTGCGCGGGCTTCTGTCCCACTCGAGCGTCAGCTAGAGCTGTGCTTTGTGCGGCCCGACTGGTGACCAGTTCATGGCAAGGGCTGGTCCTCTCGTGATCCGATGTGAGTTAGTCTTCTGCATTTTGGGGCTCCGGAGCAAAAACCCCTCAGTGATCACGATTACTTTTGGGCAAACCATTGCAGTCGTAGACGTCATGGTTCGTTTCACTTTACGTGCAAACGAAGTTGACGCTACGAGCACGAGGGTGTTTGGCACGCATGCTTGGCGGGGACTCTGGGAGCCCAACGCTTGCTCTTGTAGCTTCTGCTGCACTCTCACTTAAAAGTGAAACGGAATACAAGTATTTAAGCCAATTTTGTAACACCTCATTGCAGCCAGCGTGAGTGGCATCATCATCAACACGTGCGGGTGGGTGAAAGGAGCCGGCTATAAGGCGCTGACTCACGCGGCCCTTGCCTTTGAGGGTGAGTGCTTGCACCTCGCTTCCTTCACAATGCTCCACGCTCTTGTTGCCGAAACAGTGTGTTGTTTCAGTGGATGTGGTTCTGGTGTTGGACCAGGAAAGGCTGTACAACGAGCTGGCGAGAGACATGCCCAGCTTCGTCAAAGTGGTCTTCACGCCAAAGTCTGGAGGGGTGAGTGAAAAGAACTGCTTAAAGGATCGTGGACTGAAACTCTGGAAGGCACTTTTTGATTGCGAGCTAGAACTTTGACAAAGTCTGAACTTTGGTATACTGCAAACATGAGTCTTAGGAGACTCATCATCTCTGACTATAACTAAAAGCTTGTAGAAAGGAGAGGAGATATAACCTTAAAACTATTAAAGGACACATGCAAAAGAAAAAAACATTTTTTTTAAACGGCTTAGATGGAAAAAGGACGCCATAAAAAAATTTTACGATGAAGAAAAAAATTTTTTAGAGCTATATTTACGGCGCAAAACGAACTTGTAGTTGGCGCCCGCGGACACCGCGGAAAAGTGGTCCGTATTTATCACGTGACTGGTTCTTATTTATCACGTGGTGCTTGCGCTCTTTTGGAAGCTTCCTATGGCCTCTAAAAGTAACTTATTCATCTTTGTGTGAAGTATAACAACAAGCCAAGACGAATAAGTAACTTTTAGAGCCCAAAGAAAACTCCTGAAAAAGCGCAAGCAGACGTGATAGACCTGTGCGCCGGTCAGACGACGGCGGCGGCGCCCCGAAGCAGACGAACTTGTGCGGCGGCGGCGACGGCGGTGTAGAGAAACGCGTTGAAGCGGCGTTCGCACAACGCTCAGCGTGCGGCAGCGACGCAGCGCAGCGGCGCGCGGGCCTACCACGTGACCAGCGGCGGCTCCCGCGAGCGCCAACTACAAATTCGTATAGTGCCGTAAATATAGCTCTAAAAATTTTGTTTCTTCGTTGTAAAATCGTTTTGTGACATCCTTTTTCCATCTAAGCTGTCTAAAAAAAATGTTTTTTTCCTTTGCATGTGTCCTTTAAAACACCTCTGCTTCTACCCCCAAATTGTTTTTTTTTTTAATAAAATATATTTTGAAGGGCAGATATAAGTTGTGAACCTTTTTAATTTAAAAGATTCCCTTTACATTTATAATAGCAGTGGCTTATTGCAAGTGCAGGTGATGGTGGGCTGGCAGGCGCTCCGCATAAGGGTTGTTACCCGTCTGTCCAGCCCCGCACACCACCACCTGCGTCCTTTGAAGTGCAAATAAATTTATTATTATTATTATTATTATTGTTATTACTGTGAGTGGGCCATACTGGGTTTTCTGCCTTTGTGGTTTTGTCAAAATAAATTATTGTACTGACCAAGCACTTTGTTTCTAGACTTCCACAAAATATGTGAGCTTAGCACGACACCTCTTCGTGGGAAAATTCCTTCTTGTTCTTAATTTTAGAACACAGCAATAGCGCACAGAGATTTCCAGGGACGATAGCTGCCACTCATTGACCTCCTTGTAGCAATTGGAGCATGCAGCATCAAGATACTGACTCTTTGAGCCAGACCAATTGACTATATTTTGAGACTTCTTAAACAATTCTTCCCCGTACGCCCGAGATAATTCCTGAAAACTGGCGAGTATGACGGATGTCGGCGACACTCGCCTGGCTTGATTCAAAAGTCATAAACAACAACCGGCTATTTCAGAACCAAGAATAATTTTCTTTACCTTACAACAAAGAAAGAGGTGCACTTTCAAATGTCACCTTTTAAAACCAACCACTAAAAATACGCTCTCGAAATGAGCTATGAGGTTCGCTACATCTCGGTGCCGATTTTTCGGGTTCTACGTTTCGCCAATATAAAGGTATATTTGCCGTGTACCCGCCCCTAACGAAGGCTTTGCGTGGCGTCTGCACGCAGGTGGTGGAGCGGACCAAGTCGATGCGGTCAGAAGCGAGGGACTCCCGCGTGAGGGAGTACTTCTACGGCCTCAAGACGCCTCTCTACCCACACTCTTTCGACGTCAAGTTTGCTGACGTGAAAATCTACAAGATTGGAGGCAAGGCTCCATTTCTTTTGTTGTTCAGAGTATAGCTCAATAAGGTTCTTCTTTCCTTTCTACGGTTTCAAGGTGTGAGAAACTTTGTAATGTCTGTAGGGTATGAAGAATCAGACTAAGCGCCAAGGCGTTTGAGGGTGGTGGGAAAAAGTCAGGAAGGGACTTCTTGGAGGCACCATTCTGGCAGCTGCTTGAGAGACCCGGCCCTGAAAGAGCAGTGTCTTAGCAAAAAGTTGTCTGCCACTCTGAGGCTTTGAGGAGGTTCATTTTATATGGTATGAGAATAGTGCTACCAACTCTTGAATCAGAAAAGTGTGGAGGGGGGGGGGGGGGGGGGGTGTAATGGTGGGTAAACGTTGCGTTGAGCTGTCATAAAATGATGATGGTGGTAACAGACACTCTCCGTCGGGGGTTCTGCGGCATTGTCAGCACCCAAACTGGCTTGCCATGGCTTGCATCTACATTCTAAGGCGGCTAATGGCTAAAGCTTTCCGCAGTCAGCCTGCCTCGCCGACGTCGCCCTCTCAAGCTTCTTGGCCTGTTCGGAGTTTGTTTATACAGCGTGCGAGTCATATGAAATTTTTATTTGGGTCCTAATTTCGCCAATCCGGGACATAATGCTGTCCCCACTAGGACTAATCGGGACTCGGGACTTTTTATGAAAACTAGGGACTGTCCTACAATATCCGGGATGGTTGGGAACCCTATATGGGAAAGTTAAATATATGTACTATGTCACTGTCCTCATACTATTTTTGCATTAGCATAAATTTGCATTTTTGTGTCCACTTCACTAAAGTTACATACTATTGAACTATAGTAATCCCTCGTTATAACGAAGTCAACAGGATGGCAAAAAAATTTCATATAAGCGATAATTCAATAAAAACGAGAGAGCAAAAAAAAAAACAAAAAAAAAAACAGCAACAGCGGCCTTTAAGGTGAATGGGAACACTGCGGAACTTTCTGACTGTATATTTAATCAAACAAACCTTGGTTATGAACAACTTGCGGCAGTTTTACCGAGTAAAGAAAATAAGGAAGTGGAGTTTGCCAATACTTTTATGTGGGCATCAGTTATCAAACTGCTCCAGGCATCGCAAGAACACTGCCACCGCCACTGCACTCCACATTGTTTCGAAGCAGCCATAGGAAGTTTCACGTCTCCGCAGTTGTCAGTGTTTCCCGATGTGCCTCTCCGACGTCGCTTCGTGTTTATCCTGGCTGCATGCAAGGTCTACGATCACAGCATCCGTGGCAGGAGCAACAGCGGGAACATCCGTATCGACAAGCAAGAAGGAATCAAAGTTATCCTCGGTGGCTTCGCCAACACGTTTGCACACACTCCTGTAGAGATTGTTCCAGCTCTAGGAATCGTGCACCGGCTCGGCAAACACCCCCGCGACAGAAAATCCGACGTGCGCAAAGCAGTTGGCAATTGTTCATCTTTGGGTCGCAGGTGCACCAGGCGTGCTTTCTCTTGCATGAGAAACTTCTCGAACCCGTCCAGCGTGCCTTGCTTGTTCTGCAAAATGGTGGACAGCGTCGAACAGCCGATACCGGAATGTCAAATTCTTCGTTGGCTCCATTTTTCTTTTTTCCGTTTTACCAGTTTGTTGTTTGCCTCGATGAAGAAGGGAAAGGGAACACAATGGTCTCCACACGCCTCCGTGTAGGCTTGCAAGCTTTCTGCACCTCGACCTTCGTAATAAGCGTGGTCGGCCGCCAATGCGTTTAGAATAATCCGGTTCAAAATATGTGCATTTCGGTTGAAGCCTCTTCGATGAAAGCGAAAATTTGAAAGAACCGATTTTGTTATAACAGGGGATCACATATATTTTTGCTTCTCTCTGACATCATGTGCATGTTTTATTAAACTTGTGTACAATTCAGCAGATCTAAAAGGAATTGTCACTTCATTTATCTAATGATCTGACAGTAATGGGTTGTGGGAAAGTAGACAGGTTTAAAAGTTGTCTGCTGCTGGTTGAGATGTTGCCTTGATGCGTGTAAGCAGGGTAGTTGATTGGCCTCCAATGATCAACGCGGTTCTTGTTCATTTTTTCCAGCCCCATCCCTTCCCGATTCCTGTATGCCGCTTGGAATGAAGGCTGAGGACAACTTCACAAAGCTGGTCCCAGTCCCAATAGGTATAGATTTTTTTACTTTCACTTTTATCATTTTTATATATCTATTTAATTTGCAGTTCATCTCAGTCAACCTTGGTTTTCTAAACTCGGAGATTTGTAATCTGAGATTTGTAATCGTTCTGACAAAAGCAGTTTTTCTACCATAGCGAGGGAAACCATGTTGGAGACCACAAGGTCTCGGACGTGGTTTCCCTCACCGTTTGGCCACATGAAATAAAATTAGCAAGCTTGTCCAAGAATGAAGTGTGGCTTTTGCTGTTCTTCAATCTAAATGTAGGAAGCAGTGGCCCCAGTGGCCCTTTCTGTGAGCGAAGTTGGAATTTAAGGTTTTTAGCTTTGATGAGCCATTCTGTCTGTTGGGAAAGCCTGCTGAAAAACACCTATTTTATATGTTTAGAAAATCATGGCCTATATATTTGCATCTAGGGTACTTAATATTACACAGGTACAGTGAATTACAAGATTTCAGGTAAACAGTTGTCACACGCGAGTGCACCTATGTTAGAAGTGGGTTGTAAACTATAGTCTTGTTTCTTGACATCAGGTCCTAATCTGCTTCACCACATCCTGAGCGTCAGCTTTGCTGCTAGCAGCGATGAAGACATTCTTCAGACAAACGTTGCCGGGTTCATCTGTGTGTGAGTAACAAATTGGTCTTCTGCCAGTTATGCTTGCAAGTTGAGTGCCAGCCTTGAAGTGTAAAGGGGTGTCCTAACAGGCGTGAAGCAACACTTCACCGGCATATGAAGGGAAAGTTAAAGTTTGGCTGTCCAGCTTCTGTTTGGACATCAACCACGCAAACACCACGGCTTTCCTTGTCACCTCTTTTGCTTTTCGGTGACGTCTGTGCTCATCAGGTTTGACTTCGCACCCGACCTGCCAATGGTCTCCCGCCCATTTTTTCTGCCATGGCCCGCGACCGCCTCCGGCCTTTCGGATCATGCGAAGAGGCTTGACCTCCTTGCCCTTATATCCTTCTCTTTCCCGTTTTCGGGAAGCTCGGACATGAACAGCAGCGGAGACATTGACTGATAGCCAACAGAGCATGCGAGTAGCTATCTGGACCCATGTGCAAACACACTCTAGACCTCCTACAAGGACAGAAGCGGAAAAAAGCTTTCCCCGGCAAAAGAAATAATAGACGAAAGTAGACTACCCCCGGTCATATAACAAAGTTGTGTGGCCCCATGCGCTTTGAAATCTCCCGTTTGGACAACCCTTAAGAGGAGCTGCAGGAGGGAAGTGGGCACGTTCTACCACGGCAGCAGCACTTGCTGGCAGTTTGCCATGGCTGATACCGCTGAGGTATAAGGATGTGTGCAAATAATCAGCAAACTTACTTTCTCAGTGCAAGGCTTTACAGCTAGAATGAAAACTCATCAATTGGTATCTGAGCTGCTAGCTTTGTCCAGAACTGTGCAGATGGTTGTGGACACGGGTTTTGGTATGTTTTTTTGTAGGTCTCATGACAGGCATTCTTGTATCACACGGACAGAGTGCAAAGAGGTGGTGACTCAAGCACCTCTGTGCACTTCACAAATATAATGCAAGTTTTATTTTTGTAGAGCTTGCTACCTTATATTTTGATATTTAGTGGAATTTGCTGCTGCAAAACATTAGTTGCACACAAAGCAGCAGATTCCTTCATCGAGGATCGACTGGTATAAGCTGTGCAAGGCATCAAATTTCTGACAGCTATGTATTAGTACAGAGCGCGACACTGTTAGCGCGAACAAGCGATCGCCAGTTTTTACGGTTTTTCTCTTTGAAACCAAGGGATGTCATCCAAGTTGTTATCGCTACAGAATGAGCTCATTTCGTTCTATAATGCAAGCGATAAAATTTCGTGCTCGCTAATACTATTTAGAAGTAAATTGCGAAAATGCATCCATGTCGTGTTCGTGCTAACAGTGTCGCAATGTGTACCTTATGCAATTTAAGAAAGTGTCATAGGACAATGTAGCCGACCATATTTTGGAAAGTGTTACAGGATACATTCGCTTGTGCAAGCTTTGCTAGTATGTCTAGTCCATCACTGCCTTTGTATCATGACTGCAAGCATCGAAACTAGAAGCGTTTGTACGCATCACCTCTGATTTGGCCGAGTGCTCCTGTCCAGAACTGAAGTGGACGTCGAGAGGCAGACGCTAACCGTGCTGTCACCACAGCCACGACCACTTCCCAAGGCGGTGCTCTTGCTGAGCGAAGTTCAGTTCATGGACTCCCACTGAGGACACAAGTCACCGAGTCATCGTGTAAATAAATCATCCACCACCGTTCTAGACTTTTAGCTGCCGTAACTAAAGTAAAAACAATGTTTTGTTGCTACGTGCTTTTGCGTATTTCGTACCCAACGTTGCTCCAGAGGCCATGCCGCCCAATAGGTCAAGGATCTGGCTGGCACTTGAGTGGGTAGTACCAAGATTTTAATGTTCAAAGAATTTGCAGTTTGTATTTTTTATATTGTTTATGTAGACGAAAGCGACAAGAAACTCGAAAAAAAATGCTATTTTGCCGCGTGGTCGTGAGGGAAGAAACAAATTATTTGCATAGATGCAGCCACGCGTGGCGGTTACGGGAACTACAGTGACGTGCCTCGCTGCTACACTCCCCGTCGGCCTCATGGCAAACGGTCTTTTGTGTCGGATTGCTCGTCGCGATTTTCGGCGATGGGGGTCTCTGAAGAGAGAACCGAACGGAAAACCAGGTGATCCCTCAGAACACGTTACTCAAAAGATGGAAGTGAGAGTTAAGAGGCACTCTGACCTTCAATTTGTTTTATTTTTTAAATCAAATCTAGTATGTGCAAGAAAACAGTTTTCTGTTCTTTGTTCCATAGGTGACGCAGATTAATTCCTGCAGTTAATTGGCCAAAGTTCAGAAATCATTGCACTGCCCCTTTAGAAAAGAGCACTTCGACTAAAATCGACGGTAGGGCCAGGATTTCCGCAGACAGGACAAAGATAGATTGACCCCTATACACCAACACGTGGTCCCGACGTCATGTCGCTGCGATGGCGCTGCTATTGACAGGGCAGTAGAAGGGTATGCACTTGGGCTAGTTGGTAATTCATAGTTTAGAAGTTAAAGCCTTAAAAAAACAATGAAAAAGTGAAAGCGACCAAAACCACAGAGTGCTACTTGCCACTGAAGTTTTTCAAAAGATTTTAAAAACACCACCTCAGAGTTAAACAGGGCTATCTATGGAGTGCTGACACACTTGCCTTCAACACACTTATGAAGAACGCTTCAGATGTCTCCCTTGTAGTAGGCAAGGCGCAGGTGCAAACGCTGCACTTCATGCGAATCTGCTTCCTGCGCACGCACAGCGCCCACACCTCGTGCGGGCTTGCTTGGAAAGAGCGCATTGGCCTATACTGGAGAACTCGCAGATAATAATAACATCCGAATATGGGTCGACGCAGTAATTTTTAGGGAAAGGAAGAAAAGTTCTACAAAAGTTTCTTTCGCATTGTTTCCAGTCACCCCGACTAAACCTTACTTGTTTGCTGTGCTGGCCATGTGGTTGTCTAATAGCCGCGTCCCGCTAGAGCGACAGACAGCAACACACGACAACGAGCGACAGACGACACCAACAGACAGTCTGTTTGTCGAAGTCCGCCGTCCCACCTGGCGGACACAAAAGTCACTGGATCCTGGGAAAGTAACGCCAAGCTCCCCTTGTGGTCGCCATGTTGGTCCGTGAAATGAGCAATTTCTCCTTGACCGCTCCGTTCTTGGTGAGCCAATCTAGATTCGCTGGTGACGGGTATAGCTTTATGGAGTCGTTTTTTGTATACCGAGATTTTGCTAACCACACACCGGCAAAACAAGCGTACACCTTTGTACCACCACCAGATGCTGTGTCTGTGCTTGGAGGCACTGAAAAATAAGTTTACTGTATTGAAATATGCAAGAAGAACAATATATAATTGTAAGAAATCCATGGAGATGGGCATGGTTAATAAGTTGATTGCGTACGGAGTGTCAAAGACTTTTATATTGGCGAGGAACGCTTCCAGTACGATGATGCTCCATGGTAATCTTGGAGCGACTGGTTTAGAACGACCCTCTGGAAGCTCCGAAAATTTAAATGGACCAAGATGGCGATTCCCATGGCAACGTAGACTGATCCGCCAATCGCCTTGCGAGGTTTGGGTCGTTCGTATGTTAGTATCCGTTTGTGTCCGGCTAGCAGGTAGGCAAGGCAATGGCGTTACTTTCCCAGGATCCAGTGACTTTAGCGGACACGAGGCAGAACAGGGGGGCAGGGAAACTTTTTTCCTAGTGGGACTGGAGTTGTCAACAAAATACTTCAAAATACACAGACAAACAGAGTCTGGCGACGCAGTTTTTGTGTTTTGCTCTTTGGGCATAAAACGCGCCGGCAAACACGGTGAAAGTGGAGACGATTACTTTATTTCTCGAGTAAAGCTTCCGCTTCTCTTCATTTGCCATTGGCGACTTTCCGTAAACAGTCGTGACAATTGACACGAAACTTTTTCCGAACTAGAAATACCCAAACCGTTCCTTTTTTGGGCCGTTCGAGGCATTCTAGGTGAGCGCCACGGAGTTTCACGCTGATCTTGAGGATATTTATAACTTCATATTCGAATGATCGAGGGCAGGCGCTCTTTGGTGTACAATACGGCATCCCGATTATCACAGAACGTGATGACAAGTCTCTCGTCTGCCGGAATGGCTTGCCGCGAAACGTAGTGTCCTACTTTGTGGTGAGCGGTCTTACTTTGGTCAGTTCCGCACATGGGTGTATTCATCGTGATGCAGGGCCGTAGATCGGCGTCTTGAAGCACCACCTCGTGCACCAAATTTTCGCGAGCAAAACCAGCCACAGCAAATTCCCTTTCGCAATACGACCGCCCGGACCCAGCCAGCAAGCCGCGCCCGCGACCACTACGTGCAATCGAGGGACCAAAACTGCGGGGCCGAGAACGAGGAGTGGCCGCCAAGGACATCTCGTTCCGGGAGGAAGGGTAGAAGTGTGGGGAGGGAGGCGGCAGAAGGCATAAACGGGTGAGGAGGATAAGTTTGTCTCCGAGAGATGTTCCCCAGTGGGGCAGCTTTCTGTGCTTCAAGTCCAACGACAGACAAGAACTCGTCCATCGTCGATCGTTTGTCGGCGATTGTCGAGGGTGTCTGTCGTTGCAGTGGGACAGCATCGGCGACACGGAACTTCGTGGTGTCGTTAGGCAAAAACCGGTGTTTGTCACTGTAGTGGGACGAGGCTATAAACGTCCAGATGATGACATCTTCATTGTTTGCAAACGAGCTAAAAAGTTGCGAGGAGACACTTTGCAAAATGGTTCAATGGTGGCTGCTGCAATAAACCAGCCCGTTCCTTACTCTGAATAATGCGACCACTTTCATGGCATGGAGGCTGCGTCCGAGTCTCCACAGTGCAAGGTGGCAGTTTCGAACCTTGGATGGTTTATTCCCCGGGAAGTCTTTAGGTCGCTGCTCATAACCTCAGTTGCTTTGCAACAGAGCCCTAATATTTCCCGATAGCATCGCACAATTACCATGTCAAACATTTGCCTCCACAGCATGGCACCCGCACTGTGCTGCTTGCATTGCGCTTCACCGCTTCGCAAAGGCGTGCTAGGAGCAGCAGCTGATGTGGTGGCATGTCTTGGTTAGCTGAATCTTAAAAAATATGGCAGAAAGAAAACAATGTTGACCAACATTTGAGTAGAACATTGTATGTTTTGGTCTCTCTTGTCTGGTCCGTGACCCAGGCACATAGCCAGGGGGGGGGGGGGGGCCATGGGGCCTCCCCCCCCTGGCCTTCTGCAGGAGGCATGAAACAGGTCAGTCATTGATCCTAGTTTCATGCCTCAAGTGCAACAATAAGTTGTATGAACACGTTAAAGCGGAGAGATACCTGGCGCAGTGTCCAAGCCAGCGTTCGTCAGGGTCAGAGCAGACGCTTTGAGCGGTACACCAAAAGGGGTGCACCAAAATGCCATAAAAACAAGACTTTTTTTTTTTTTTTTTTTTTAGTTGCAATGTTTGCATGGCGGAGACGCAGTCAGTTGATTATACTCAGGTTTGTGTCAATAAGACTTTATCTGGTCGATCGCGTCGCAGCGTTTGCCGTGCTGCATGCCCTCGCCTATTTATGCCTAGCACCGTGGTCGCGGCGTCGCTCATAGAAAATGTTTCGTGGTCTTCAGTAGTTGTCTAAGAACTCAACTCCTGCAGAAGGTTAAAAACAAGACAAATGTGACAACAGGTTGCCTTCTGTCCTCCTACAGCCACCGATAGGATGAGAATCGCAGAGCACATTTTCCTGACGCACAGCCCCCTCTTGTTGCCTCAGTTGCACCATCTGGGATGCCAAAGCATTACTGAAAGTAAGGAAGCTCATGCTGGAGACGGGACAATTGAAGGCCCTTCTGCCTTTCTAATCCTGCCAGTGACTGCAATAGCCGACTGTAATAGCAAGCATTTTATCAACACACTTCCTTTTCGTAATGGGAAGGGGAAACACTTCTTTTAAAAAATGATAAAGGCTGATTCTAGCGTGCCGTAAAATACAGAGCAAGTGCCGATTCAAAATTTGAAGATAATCGCGAAAAAATAGGGGTGGGCACATGTGAGGTCATCAATTTTACATTTATATGTACTGTGCATATTTTTTCATGTTGAAATTTTGGGGTTGGGCACTTTGTGCAGAATGGGTGGATGCACAGTATTTGACGATAGTGTTATCCTGTGAATCTGAATATTGTTTGTTTTCACCGAAGATATAACAACGCGAAAGACCTCCTGCGACGTCCTAAACGGGTCTTTCGGCCGCCAAGCGTGCATCATTCGAAGGCCGCGAGTGCAGTTGCAAGCTTGCCAGGTATATTCCCCCACTCTGGTACAAGTCGCTTCGTCTCTTTTTCTTTTTCAGAAATAACAACAATGCACATGCATAGATTTGATAGGTGCTGACGATGCGCGAGAGCAGAGATTCCAAAGGCTTCTTTTGTGATGTCGCACTCCACGAAGGAGGGCCTTCGACAATTCTTTTAAAAATGATTTTCTGCAGCCTACATGCACTAAATTAAAAAATAATTTCGATATTCAAGATTCCGGAGGTCAAATGAAGACTATTTAAGTGTTTCCTCAAATGCAAAACCGCTTCAGTCCCTTTAACCAGAGGACGCTGTTTCACGCACACAAACCTGTGGCCTACAGGTACTGAAAGACACGAGAAAACAGATCCAAGCAGTTCTTTCATGTTCCCTTCGTTTATTGCCGAGCTTTTGCTCCTCTGGCATCATATTTTCTTGTCTGTCCGTCCCCCGTGCAGACTCGGAAGCCGCTGTCGACAGTCATTCTCCGGGACCCTTTGCTCTCCCTCTTTCTTCTTTGCAGTCGGCCAGAAGCCACAGGCGGGCCCAACCGACCTTGATCGACACGAGCCCCCGTTCGGTGGTCTCGGTGCACGGAAGAGGCAAAGTCATGGGTGGGAGCGAAACGTAAAACAAAACACAAGGGGGAATGTAGCTCTGCCTCAAGCCGCAGAGAGGCCGCGTCTTCATCAATTCCTTTTTCTTTCTCCTTCCGAGTCCTTGTCGGGGCACGCTTGCACTTGCATCCCTAATTCAAAGAAAAAACAAGTTCACTAACGAAATTTTAAAATAGTACCAAGGTAGGCTTTTGGACAGGAATGGACTCGTTTAACAGGAGTGGGAGGGCGGCGCATCAAATTAAAAACTAAAAGAGTGGTGGGGGAGGAGAGCAAAAACAGATGATGGAGGGGTGGATTCAAATGAGTCACATTAAAAAAGAAGGGGACCGACGTCGTCACCGAAGGGGTGAGAACAGCGGAGCGCCCCTTTCGAACGTACTACGCTTCGGCTGCATGTGCAACGCCGAAGCATTATCGAAAGTAGAAAGCTGGCGCTGGAGGCAGGACCACTGACTCCTCCCCGCTGTCCCCATCCTGTCGGCGACTATGGTAAAATGCAAGGCGACAAATTATAGCCGCTTCCTCAGACCCGAGAGCGGTGGGAAAATGAGGTAAGTAAAAAACGGAAATGAAGTGCCAATCGGACGGGCCTGGAAGAGTCGACTGGCTTTGCCGGCGGTCGAGCTGTCTCCGTCGTCTGTGCGGTCAATGTGCCTTTGGCAACACGTTCGTCTTTCTTTTGCGGAGGAAGGAGGGGGGCGGGTTAGGGGAGGGATTGAAGAAATGAATCTGCGTTGGAGTCGTAGGGCAGAAGCCCGGCTCCTCGGTCAAGCCTTTGGAGACGGCTGCTGTGGGGGCGACGTTTGGCGGGCCGGACCCTGGGTCTGCTTTTGCTGGTCTCGGATGTGCTTCTCCACCTGTAAAGAGGGCCGCCAGTGGAAGCGGATGCATCGTTAATGGATGCATAAATAATGCATGAATAGACTCGTTGCAGAACGTGCGGTGCTGCTTGCGGTACCGAAAGGAATGTGTTTAACAGTCTTTAGCAGACGGAGGAAATGCATGCGAGCAATAGCACGACTCTCTCCAGTGTCACATGGGTGCTATGGAAGAAAGAAGTGTACAAAATTTCGCACATAGCGTTTTTTTTTTTTTTTAGGAAGTCTTAAAATTTTGGAGGTTTGTACAAAGACCTATGAAGAGTGTCTACCCCATTCTAGTAAATGGCCGAGGATTAAATCTGGGTAACTGCGAATCTTCAACATGCAACAAAATACTGCAGCACAGTATCTGTGTCGCTGCCGGATTGCAGTTACCCAAGCTGGCATTTCAATCGGTCACCCAATTGGGAAGGGGGAAGGAGGAAGAGAGGGAAGGAGAGGAATGCATTTTGAGAGATGGCGCTATCATCCGAAAGGTGGCATATTAAATTTCACTTTAAACTCCAAAGCACAAGACTCGATTTAAAGGAACAGTTTCCCCATCAAGAATGCATAGATTTTCTTCACCATAAAACAAAAATGTCAATTGTTCACTGTAGCTTTTTTTTTTTTTTTTAAAGCCTCATAGAAAGATGGCAGTACTACCTAAGCAACCTTCCAGTAATAGTTCCTGGCAAATGAAAACTTTGGTGTTAAAATAAAGTTTGAGAGCAGACTACACACCTCATACAGCTTTGCTTCAACTTGCTGCTAACAATGTGAACAAAATATGGATTGCACATACTCTTAGTGCAGTTGTCGGCACAGTGCACACTTAACATGCATCTGGTTTGTGCACATGTGCGGTGTTCACTGCTGGTCTGGGCAAACGCCAACTTGCTTGTAAAGAGTGTCATCTAACTAGCTGCCAAACACCACCAGGCCTTTTTTTTTTTTTTTTTGGCTTCCAATGCATGGAATACAAGGGTATGAACAGGAGACAATATAATTTCATTACAAGAAATTTGGGTAGCTTCGGTGCGTCTTTGCTGTTCACTTTTTTTGCTCGCACACATACAGATGTCTCATAGCCAGCTACCATCTTTGGTGAACCCAATGCAGCAATTTCTTTATTATTCAAACAAAATATATAAATAATTATATTACTCGCAAGCTCTAGACAACTAGACACACCAGTTGTGACTGGGCCACCTCAGAAAATGCCAAACTGGAAGTATCTCTGTCGTATCCCGAACCCAACCTGTTTGTTCTTTTAATGGAACACTCTGGAAACTGGAGCCGAGGCTCCGGTTCCCGAGAAACGAAAGAGACAAGCAGGCCCTTATACAAACACTCTGAGAGGCTTCCTGAAGCGCAACTGTGCGCTTACAATCTTTCGGACATGGAGGACGCTGGGATCGTTGTCCGACTTCCCCTTGCAGTTTTCGGGCCGGTAGGGTGGCAGGATGGTCACTTCGTTCATGACTATGATGTTTTTGTCTTGCCACGTCACCTCGTCAATTCTGCAAGGGACAACAGGCAAACACAGTGATCAAGGTCATGGTCTAGCACTTAACATGTCTATCTAGTAGGAATGTGATATATGCATGCCCTGGATAGCATTTACCAAACATTGTGAGCTGCCGGGAAATGCTGTGCACCCTTTGGTTAAAGGGATGCTGGACCGAAACTTTAATTTCACAAAATAAGGTAGCACGGGTGTTCAACGGGACGCCACAAACCCCAAAACACCACTCGTAAAGCAATTTCTCGAACGGATGGCCGTATTTTTGTTAAAGAAGTATGTGATTGAGTGAGATTAGCAACATCACGCTTTCTGCAGAATTGGAGGGGAAACTGCCTTGCTTCCTTCCCTCTTCGCGTCCTCACAGAGTCAAAGTGAGAAGAGGAGGAAATGAGAATCTCGATGTCATGGGCTTTTTCAGCCTTGCTCTCAAGCGCGCTCTTCTTTCACAAAAATATGACCATCTGTTGGAGGTATCGCTTTATCACTGATGCTTTGGGGTTTGTTGTGCTCCGCCTAGCACTTGCACGTTGTTTTCTGAAATCAGAATTTCGGTTCAGCACCCCATAACCCTTTCAGACGTCATGTACACAATTGTGCACATTCCAAAACCGCGGCTTCTAGAACGAGCGTTTCCGAAACTCTGCATTTTTGATGAATTTAGACAATCTGTCCGCTATTCAGCTGACAACCTAAGCGTTTACAGCGCCATCTAGTAAGTGCTGAAGCAAATATACATGTAAACAGACATGGCAGCGCGCAGGACGGCACTGCCAGGTAAGGCAATTCTAACAATTTTTGCTGACTTTCCTTCTTGTCCCGAGGATATAATAAAATATGAAAGCTATTTGTAATGCTTTATCCTGTGTATGGTCAAAATAATTTCGCCTAAGCACAAACAGCGCAATTAGTGCATGGTTACAATTGTGTACAAAGTGTCACAATGGAAGCAAAAAATGACCGTGTGCCAAACGCGCTGCCTAATCTTCCGCATTATGACTTTTCCAGGCTTTCCGGAAGTGCCTTGCACAAATTTTTATAAAGCAAAGCCCCATGCTGCGACAAAAGAGTCAGCCGACCGATTAGATTGCTTCCGGGAACACATCCGACATTGGTGAAAGCGATGATGAAGATGACGTTGCTCAAGAAATAATCGATGAGAGCATAACCTTTGGACGCGAAAAGTGAAGATTCGACCCCCCACCAAATATCGACTTCAGCGGCCACGGCGACTGCCTACCTGAGCCGGACGAAACCTGTACGCCGCACACATATTTTTCAAGGTACGTGCCAGAATCCATTTTCAAGTGCATGGCAGAACAGACGAATCTTTACAGCGTCCAAGAAACCCACAATAATGTGAACACGACAGCTGACGAAATAAGGAAACTTTTTGGTATCCATATTCTGATGGGTGTCATTGCTCTGCCTCCCATCAGGCTCTACTGGGACCGCATCATGAAAGTTCCCTTGATCAGCGAGACCATGTCTGAGAAAAGATTCTTCAAGCTCCGCAACACCCTGCATATTGAAGCTGAAGCTCCTGGCGAACAAAACGACGATCGCCTGTGGAAAGTGCACCCTTTCTTGGATCAGATAAGGCAGCGATGCTTCTAGCTTGCCATTGAACAAGAATCGTCAATTGATGAACAGATGATTCCCTTCAAAGGCCAACTCTCCATCAAACAGTATGTCAAAGGCAAGCCGACCCCTTGGTATTCGCTCTCTGCGGTAGGAGCGGCCTGCTTTACGACTTTGCGGTTCATCAGGGGGAAAACACAATTCCCGCTGAGCTGAAGAAAGACTACGGCCTTTGTTCTGGTGTAGTAGTACACTAGTCTAAAAGAATCCCAACTGGCTGTAATTATCAACTCTACCTTGATAATTATTTTACGTCAGTGCCGCTCCTCCACAAACTGCGAAACAAAAAGATTCTCGTTATAGGGACTGTGCGGAGTAACAGGCTGGGCAAGTGTCTTCTTGAACCAGCTAAAATAATGAAAAAGAAAACGCGAGAATACTCCACTGAGTATGTCACAAGTGACGATATTGTTGTGGTTTCGTGGAAGGACAACAGCAGCGTATGTGTGGCTTCCAACTTCGTTGGAATCGGAAACCAACAGCAGGTAAAAAGATGGGACAAGGCCAAGCGTGAACACATCTTTGTAGAGCAGCCGGAAGTAATTACGAAGTACAACCGGAATATGGGAGGCGTCGACAAGATGGACTTCCTGCTTAGCCTGTACCGGATCAAAATCAAATCAAGGAAGTGGATGCTAAGAGCACTCTTTCATTTTGTAGACATTGCTGTATGCAATGCTTGGCTAGAGTACATACAGGATCCCTCGGACATGCAAAGGTCAAGGCTACTGGACCTCATGCATTTCCGCCTGCAGATTGCGGAGGCCCTCATCACGTCTGTGCCAAGCAAGAGAAAGCGTGGGAGGCCATCACAAGAAATTGAAGATGCTCCCATGGATCCTCCGCACAAGAAGGCAGCACGCATCCAGCGGCCGTGCTCGGATAGCCGTTACGATGGCGTGGATCACTGGCCAGAAGCTTGAGATCAAGCAGTCCCATCAAGGTGCAAGTATGAAAGATGCAGAGGAAGATCCTGAATATTCTGTAAGAAGTGCCGCGTCCCGCTTTGCCTGACGAAGGACGGCAACTGTTTTTACAGATTTCATGTTTGAAAGCCCCTTTTCATGACCTTTGAGACGCTTTGTACACAATTGCGTACATGTCTGTAAAAAATAAACTATAATGATTTTCTTGTAAGTTGCACATGATTTCATCTCATTTGGCTGTAAATTAATATTTCAGACAAAAAAAAAAAATTTTCTTTCCGGAAATAACGATTGGCGTCTGAAAGGGTTAAGCACTGAAAAGCTGCGAGTTGGCTTCTCAGATTCACTAACATACAAAGTTTGAGCAAGCTAAATTAGTACATATAGAAAAAAAAAAAAAATTTTTTATTGACAGGACAGGGATATGTGTTTTCCATGCTAGCAAATATAACCATCACATGTGCACAGTAAAGCGCCCATATTTGAGGGAAATACTTACAAATGTTGGGACACTAGATCTCTCCAAAACAACACTTTTGCTCCCACCCCTGCACTGCTACATGAAATTGTAGTTATCCTGTCATTAATAGCTTGGTTTAATAACCACCTTATAACCAGCAGGATTCATTAGCACCAACAGATCTTCCCTGAGCTATTTAGATGAAGAGTATTCCAGTCCTCATTTGTTGTGGACATCAGTCAGGGAATGTACAGTACAGATCTGATGTTGTCGGGAACCCATTCCTAATGAATACACAAGGCTGTTGAATACTCAGAAAAATGTTACACTATGAAAGACCGAGCTCTGCGCTTCACACTAGAATTGGTGGTCATGAGCCCATTGTCATACAAATACTGAGATGTTCCAACTATGAATCTGCATTTTGACCTACAAAAATCTCGCGCCCCCGTCACTATTTGTCACCCCAGGCATCTCTGCCCCATAAAGGTGGTGTCGAGATCTGTGCCAAGATAATAGAGAAATAATCTTTGCATTTGATTGTGAGAGGTGCTAAAGTGCAATCATGGGACTGCTCCAGGCTTCACGCAGCACTTCTTTTACCTCTACTTCCATAGCTAGGCAGCCACCCTCAAGATTCCATGGACAAGACTTGATGTTGGCTTGTCGCACTCACGTTTTCCGGATGGCCAGGAAGAGGTGGATTCCCTCGGGGCTCACCCCCGCCGAAACAGCGGCAGCCAGGCGCTGGCGCTCCTCAATATTTTGTCGCGCTCTCGTCTTGAGCTGCCAAACGGCCAGGGACAAAAGAAAGAAGCAGGTTTCAATGGAAATAAGTGCATGCTTATTAAATGAGTGCAGGGTTAGCAGATGCTTCAGCATACTTATCCAATCAGCTTAACTATTAAATGTGGCTTCTCAATCTGGGTTTCTAGGATGTCGAGCTTCTCCAGGGTTTTCAATATTTCCCCAGCCGTCCCTGCCCCTAAATAAAGTGCTCTTCCAGTTTGAGCACCATTTTAGAATATTCGAGTTCTTCACTGAAGCACAAATGTGTGCCAAACACTTTCTAGCATTTACATTACTGTTTAAAAGGCCTGCAGGCTTCTACATTGCTTTACTTCCTCAATGGTCAGACCAGAAAGGGTTCTTCACCTATCAATCAGGAGAGGCATTCCTTGAGATTGAATACCTCTGTACTAGACCATGGGTAGAGACGTGTGTAATATAAGAAAGATCCATAACCTTTGACACCCATTTATAATTTAGGAATTCTTGAAGGTTTTTTGTGCAGATGGGCAATGCCATCCAGTTGTATTTGAAATGAAACTATGATGGCGTAGTTCAGCTCCTATGAGGAATCGAAAGTAACCGTGTTGCAAGGTAGGCTTTCGAGTAGCAGGTAAAAAATTACTGTACGGATCATGACCGCAGCCCTGTTCGCCTGATCTACAGAGCCCGAACCGCAATATTTTGAAGATTGTGTGCAACACACCGACGCAACAAAAGATATGTTTCCATGACACTCCACAAGCTAGGGTGACCACCTTTTTGCTAGTGAAATGCGGGACACGCAAGGCAGAGGAGGGGCGGGTGGGGGGGGGGGGGGGGGGGGGGATTTATTATCATGCACACAATGAACCGAGGCTCTGTTAACAGATTTAATATTCTGCACGCTATGTGCACCGGTTAATTCTATTGCAGCAATTGAACTCAATGGATGAAATGGAAAGAAGAAACAGTAAATCTTTTTCGGGTTATTGTTTCCTGTCAACGTTTACATTTATCAACATGGTCCTACACAGATGTTTAACATTATGCTCTTTTTTTACCGTTGCGAGTGTGGCTGTCTTCACTAAAAACAAGAAAAACAAAAATTCACAGCAACCCTTTTGCATTGGCATAGCAATTTTACAATGATTACAATATTTTATATTTAATCTTTTACGAGCCATTTTTCTTAGAATGTTTTGCCACCAAAGAGAGAGGGAGAATGGCGCATGCGCGTCGGATCCTAGCATTGCGGTCACTTCCCGCGATGCTAGGATAGAAAATTGCGTACCATTTCGAGTCGCACGATTACAAGCGACCTACGCGTTTCCCTATGCCCCGTTGTTCGGCAGCATTACAAGTTGCGGAATGAATTTTACTATTTTACGACAGTGTGAAATGCGGGATATTTTGAAGATTTGGGACTTTCTCGGGCGGGACGCGGGACACGAGCCCTCAATGTGGGACAGTCCCGCGAGTCGCGGGACGGGTGGTCACCCTACCACAAGCTCCACAATATGAATTGCTAACAGAGCCAGGTCACTTCAGAATGCCAGCCTCCAGGAAATTTGAAAAATACACAATAAAGTTGCCAATAGAATAAAACCTCAACATGGACCCTCGTGCTACAGACTGAGGCAGTCCTAATTATGGGAAGGCGTCTAAGTTAGAAAAGTGTTCACTGCAGGACATGCACTACATCAATGGCAAGCAGGCCCAACTTCAAGAGTTGCTTAAGTTAGAGGTGTTTGACTTGGGAGGTGAACTCGGAAGAACTGATTTCAACCAATCAGGTTCGAGAGGAAGCACCAGCGAAGAAACTGCATCAGCACACACCGCAGGGTCTCCACATTTATGTCTCTACCTTGTCAATGTTTAGGGGTTGTGGCGGTGGCACAGGACTCGAGCCTGCTTCCTTTTTGACGACGACATCAGCAATGAAGTCGAGGTTCAGCATCCGCACGTCGCTGACGTTGGCCTTTCCGCTGGAACTCTCACATTCTGGTGCACACAGGTCAAGGTCAAGAAGGTGGGTCGAGAAGGCAGGGCCCTCGTGGGTCCTCGTAACAGTTGTTTTTTGAGGTCTAGGTTTTCGGTGCAGCAAACTCTCGGCTCTGATGAAGTGGGGTGGGGGAATTCAGGGAGATATTTCAAGCTGCTATACATGGCTTGCATGTGACATCATTACACCATGCTGGCAGTCATTCCTACATGCTCTTGCAGAGAGAAATTTGGTGGTGCGAAATGTGCTGCAGACGGTACGCGCTCAGCAGCATGGCCACCACACTGACCGCTGACATAACGTAAATGCAAGCCATGTACCCCATTACAGTTGGGTTTATCAGTAAAGAAAGGCGGACAGTAAGTGTGCCTGAACAAAGCAATCTGTGAAATAAAATCAGATATGTTACAAGGCGATTCTGTGTGAAAAGGGTCGTCTATTGTCATACACAAACAAAGAAAAGTTATCTTCTAGAGAGGTTCAACTTTAAACTGTTCGTGCTATCGTTTGAATTCTTTTAGTATTGAAGCCGGATGCTCTCTTCGTTCTGTCTCTCCTTTTATCCCTAGAAGCATACACCCCGCAGGAACACACGCAACATTTCGGGGTGCTGTCTGTTGACACAGAGCAATAGTGCCCCGGATGACAACGCAAACACGAACAATGTAGCCCAAAGAAAATGCAAAACGCTGCAGCCTCTCACGAAGGACGGGCACTTGGAACACGCCGCTCCGAGACCTAACAGCAACGGATTGGGCGTGTACAGAAGGACGCAATGCCAGCCGATTAAGACAAAGACAACACGCCGGTGAAGTACCGAGGGAACTTCTCTACCAGGCTATCAATTGCGTCAATTATTGTTTCGTACCGGCAAAACAGAAACGTCGGGGAAAACTCGCAGTAGTCGCCGACCCCTCCGGCGCGGTAGGCAACACGTTGCCTGCGGGGTAAGTTTGGAAGCAAACGCCACTGAGCTTGGAAAAGGATACTCAGCATGAGTGCCTTGGTTGGTTGGTCGAACGCTAAGACCTCTCCCTCGATCACCTGGTCGTAGAAAGTTTTACAACTGACCACACTTCCCAAGCTGAAACACTCCGGCCCATCCGCCATGGCTTTCATCTTCGGGAGTGGATGGAAAATTTACATAGTGGATGGAGTTTTGTTAGTGTCGCCACGAGCCCCGCCGAAAACCGCCAAAAGCCGCTAAACCACCCAGTCTCCAAACGTGTGTTGTGGATGTTTAAACCACAAAGTTTACGAGGTAGCTTAAACCAAATTATTTATAATTTAAATTCTTGCCTTTATTGCAGTTTTTTTTATACGTAAAATTTTATTTTGCACAAGAAAATGAATTTTCTTGCGAATTTCTCTAGATCTAGCAAATTTTGCAATTAACGTTTTTAGAAAGGTTAAAGAAGCCAATCCGATCCAGGTGCGAAAGCCTGTCTTGTCGCTTTTCCTTCATTCTGAAAAGTCATTGTACGCTTGTCGCAAATTTCCGACTTCATCGTTTCTGGACTCGCTGGGTCGCCGGAACCCCACCAAACCGCCAAGATGAGTATCATGTCGTATAACGGAGGCGTCGTGATCGCCATGAAGGGCAAAGAGTGCATCGCCATCGCGGCAGACCGGCGCCTGGGCGCAAGGGGCCACACGATCGCCCTGGACTTCCAGCGCATCTTCGAGATGGGCCCAAAGCTCTACTGCGGCCTCTCCGGCCTCGCCACCGACGTCCAGACGGTCTCGCAGCGACTGAAGTTCCGGATCAACATGTACGAGCTCCGCGAGGGCCGACGCATCAAGCCCAAGACGTTCTCGTCGGTCGTGTCTAACATTCTGTACGAGCGCCGCTTCGGCCCGTACTTCACGGAGGCCCTCATCGCTGGTTTGGACCCGATAACGAACGAACCCTACATCGCATCCACGGACCTGATCGGCTGCATCAGCGAACCCGAGGACTTCGTCGTTTCGGGGACGTGCGAAGAGCAGTGCTTCGGCATGTGCGAGGCGCTCTGGGAGCCCGACCTGGGTCCCGACGAGCTCTTTGAAGTCATCTCGCAGGCGCTCGTAAACGCTTTCGACAGAGACGCCAGCTCTGGTTGGGGCGGCGTGGTCCACATCGTCGAGAAGGACAAGGTGACAACCAAGTACCTCAAGACCCGGATGGACTAAGCTTGTTTTTTTTTTTTTATTGCGTTTTCCTTGTACCGCCTGCTGCCTACCCTTCGAATAAAGTGAATCAGATTCTTTTTTTTTTGCATTGGCGGAGGTCACCTGCTTTGTTTCTGTTTCGTAGTAGAGGTCAGGACTTTGCAGGCCGACGCGATTGTTTGCGCTCCAATGCAACACCGCTGAGTCCAGTCCAGTGGCGTACCAACTTGTTTTTGGGTGAAGGGGGCAAACCAGACCCCCCCCCCCCCCCCCCCCGGGCCGAAGGCACGGTGCCCTTGGTATCCCTTGGGCGCCGCCGGCCAATGTTTGCCCTGCCCAGGGGGGGCAAAACACATGCCTTTGCCCCCCCCCCCCCCCCCCCCTCCCCACTCGGAGAACTGGTAGGCAAGCACCCCCCTTGCCCCCCCGTCGGTACACCCATGGTCCAGTCTATAATCACTGACAGTTGAAATGTGGGGCATGGCTTACTTTGTTGAGGCTTCGTGGTTCACTCTGGTGTTCTTACCGTCCAATGCACAAACCTCGTTCAATGGGTGCGTAGCGATAGAGGCTCTGGACTCGACACGCCCCGTGTTTCTTAAGTTGTCACTGACCATGTTGTCTTGTGTTCCCTGCCAGCGCATTTGGTGGAGCAGCTGCCAGCGAGTGTGAAGACGATCTTGGTCTTTCTGGACTGTAAGCTTGTTTGATTTACCTGCACCGGTGCAGAAAAGCGTAGGGCGGCATACTTCCAGCCATATCTCGATACACAAACCGGAGGTACACTGCCCTGCCATATTTTGCAGAGGTGCAGATAAATTGAGTAAGCCTTGCGTTGCAACGTGTGAATGACAGGAAGGCTCTGCTCCCCCCCCCCCTTCCCCCCCCCCCCGAGTTCCCAGGGAGAAACTGCGTCGCCATGTCATTATGTACAAGCGGATTGGTTAGCTCAAGTCGTGCAGCATTCTTCAGTACCGTTTCGTGAGAATAAGAGCCCAGCAACCCAAAGCTCAATCCTATCCAATGGACTTTTGCACACTTGGCATTGAACAGGATATTATTATGAACGGAGGCTCTCCCTCTTCTTAAATTGCAACCGACTATAGCCCATTTCAGCTCACGATAGACCGCAACAGAAGCCATCGGAACAAGTCCAGTGCCGTGCTAGTGTCGCATGGCCTTCAGGAAGGGTGCTTAGTCGCATTTTGCAGCGTGCTGGATTGACGGGGATGGCTCGTAGCATCCGTTACGGTCCATTTTGAGGCGAAACGAGGTATATGTTACGTACGGTACAAACGAGCTTCAGTTAAGGATATGAGCTGCACGGATTGTGCTAGAACCCAGATAAGTTTTATTTGTCAATACAGATGCTCACTGTACATTCATCTCCTGATGTTGCAGTTTGGGACCGAAACAAATTATGAAAGCTTCATCTTTTACGAGCACGCTGACACTACTACTAGCAACCGCTATGGTTTGCTGAGAGTATTTCTAGAGCAAAACTAATTTGGGGAGTAACGTTAATTGCTCTTTTGTTTTCTTTTTTCTTTTGCTTAGTTTTGTCAGGATTGAAGGATTCAAAGCAAAACAAAAAGCACTGGGTGCAGGTCCCAGTTTGTCAATGGTCCCTGAGCACATGTGTCATGCCTTGACACTACTAAAGCCGTGTACAGAAACGCATATCTAATCAAACGTTTTCTTGTGGAATGCATCAGAAGAGGATTAAAACATCAGTGGTGCTTAGACATAAAAAGAACTAGCGGGCACATTGCATGCCAGACTTTTCAATTTGATTTGCCGGTGGTCAGTGAACTCATTACACTGCCCACGGTCTTTTCGATGCAATCCAGTTTCTTCCGGTGATTGTCTTCCACGCCAAGGGCTCTCTCCCGCAGGGCAGCGAGGCTGGCTATGATGTCGTCGTCTTTCTCGAGCGCTGTCTTCAGCTCGCTGGCAAGGCTGTCAAGCAATACCTTGGCATGTTGTTTCACACCTGCAAGCCAAGTACTGGATTAGGTGGCCTTTTTTTTTTTTTTTTTGCAAAGCATCTGTGGAAAAGGAACTTACTTTCAATCTCTCGTTCAAGGGATGAATTGGTGGACGAGCGAGCCCCTGAAGGTGCCATCTTGTTGTCTTTGTCGGCATCTGAACACAAATATGAGATGTTTTCCTTAATAGTAGTTGATATTTAAAAGTTACTGTTGTATGTTTTTAGTTCAGTGCTTTTAATTACTCTCAATTCTAGAACTTTAGAACTTCACTCATATCCTGTATAGCAAAAAAAAAAAAAAAAATTAAGAACATAATTTTTTAGGTGAGGAAAGAACTGACGGGTTCACTGAATGGCATATAAATGTTTGTATTCCTCTTACCTTTGTTAATAAGCACATATCCCTGCTGACATGCAGTTTTGGAGTGCAAGTAAAATAAACTAATAGTATGTTTTGTGTAATACTCACTTTATGTAGACTATTGTGATAAGTGCAGATGTTGCATGCAGGTGATATGAAATTTTCTAAAATGAAACAGCAGGCCCACAGTTTTTTTCACAAGGGTTCATGCTTTGCAACGTATTGTGTCTCATGAATTATTTGGCATATAAAGCAACTATACTTTTTTTTTTAATGTTGCTATGTTAAAAACTTTTAGGCTCATCAATAATATCTTAAATTTGCTCATTTGTTTCATGTTGTGTGATGCTTAAGAATATGATAAGACTATAATGATGCTTCTGTCGAAACACCGACGGCAAAAATGACAGAAGGAATAAAAGAAAGTACATGTTGTAGGTGGGCAGCCTGACCACTTTCCATCGAATATTGGTGCAAGCTTGTATGGCTATACCTGTCTATAAGGCTCATAGCTGATAGCATATGAATTGTAGTAAAAAAAAAATCTACGTTAAAAATGATTTACTATTGTTCAGTGGAGTCATGTACATAGTTATGCCACAAATATACCCATTAGAGAAGAATATTTATATTCCTATGCAGTTTGTGTGTTTCATTAATTAATAATAAGATCAAGCTACTCACCCATTGGCTGTTGTACTGGGGCATCTGTATGACTTCCACTTGACTGCAATATATGTTGAATATTTGTAAAGAGTGCAAATCTATTCTAATATTGAGTCGGTGTGTATAAAAAAGTACTGACAAAAGACAAAATGTTGAGCACTGGCTGATTCAGGTAGGAATTCAATATAATAATTCGAGATTTCGGCAAATGCCATATTATGCATACATAATAAAAATAATAAGGTAAATACATGGCCTATGTTTAAAAGTGAATTAATTTAGTTATTTGGGAAATTCTTCCATTAAGATCAATGCATGCTGGGACTATGCTTGGTAGTATCACTTAAAGCTAGTGTGAATGATATCAGATGAATACCAGCTTCTAAATTTTTGATAAAATCAACCTTAAATTTTCTTTCCTCTTTTTTTTTCGGGGGGGGGGGGGGGGGGGGGGGGTAGTTGTCATTTTTAAAGTGCTATCTGATGAAGTTGCTTCAGCACCTTGCTGACATTCTTTAGGTCACTGAGCTGAGACCTTCCTATGTACCAGTAATAAAAAAAAAAACAAAAAAAAAAAACGCAGCCATTTAGGAATGTGTGTACTAATAATAGTACTGCCTAGTTACCGAATTACGGTTTTAGAAGTTTAACAAACTTCCACTCCAAACGTTTTTCTGGGCCTGAATTATATTAAAGTTGAGACTGCTGGCACACCAAATGACGTTTTCTTCACTGGGCCCGCCGAGGACGCTTTGCTTTCTTGTTTCCCTTTTAGTAGGTCAGTCTGCAAACCTCCCGAGTGAGCATTGGGATTCCGATATTTACCTGAATATCATCGTTTTCCTCCAAATCGATAGTATCGTGGAGTCCTCCAGAATTCATGACGCAGCAAGTGATAACTGTGTCTAACGAGCAAAACCAAAACTGTAGCAGACGATAGTGGACGCGGCGGCTGAAGCCAACTTTGTATTAGTTTACTACAAATTGCAATATTAATGAAATTAATAAGTATTTTTATTTGATTTAGATTAATAATAAACGCTTTAAACATCATTACGTTGCAATCGAGTAGTAAAGAAACAAAATAAACAGGCCCCGGAGGCGTATTCGGAGACTGGCCTTCCCTCTCGACACCTAACATAGATGGCAGCACGCGTACCATTGCCAGTTTCGCCTCGCTTTTCACGCATCGCTGCCGACGCTCGACCGAAGACCACCCCCGCCTCACGAGTGGCGAGAAATCCTCGCGGCGAGCTTGTGTCTACCAAAATATCCCCCCATCCTGACCCCAGAGAAGACCACTAGCGCGTGCATTCGGTGGTGTTGACCCATCACAACATCCCCGTAAGACCAAAGACCCCTCCCCGTGTGTCCAGAAAACGGTTCCATCGTTAGAAATCACTCGTACCACAACATCAACAACAAACATCGTCATCGGTGTGCTTCCAAAACGCTCCTCTATCGTACCGGTGAAGTTCTCGGGGTGCAAGCGGCAAGCCCGGCGGCGCGAAGTAGCGTGGCTCAAATGCGCCGACGGCTGCTCAGTGGACGGCTCCCGTGTAGGAACCGGGAAAGTCGGATTCGCGTCGACGGATGCGTCAAGGTCGTGGAGGATTAGACCCCGCCGTGGCGTTGACGGGACTTTACCGATCCGTCACTGGAAGCCAGCTCGGAGCCCGGATCGGAGGTCCCGACGGGTCAGTGCGGCGCGCCGAGTCATGTAATCGACGAGGTAAGTCGCACTCGCTTTTGCATACACGCTAATATTGTGAGTATATTCTTATTATTATTCACCGATATCTACCTCTACGACGCAGATGATGTTTGTCGGCGCTCACAATTTCACGCATATCATTAACTTTTCCGGGATGTTGTGTCCAACGAGCCATTTCCTGCTCGAAGCGAGTCGATGTGATAAATTTGCTAGCGTACTTGCCGGCCAATGCGCACAGTGCTATAGGTTCTTTGTAAGTAATGTGTATATACATATCTGCTCGCTGACCTACAGTGCATTGCTCTGCAATCAATAGATGCAGTGGGCGTACCTTTTCTCATTATCGGAGCTGTATTCGAGTGCGTTGCAATCGGGGCAAGCACTCGAATTTTGACAGCTCTACGTAATCGGTCGTGGGTGTAGAAGCGAGTCGGTGTATATCTTTGTGGGGATTGCACGGAGCACTCTTGATGACGCTGCCAAGATAAGCTGGCTGTGTCTGCTACGTCAGCAAGAGGAAGCTGATAATGTCGGTTCTTTAGTTTGAGATGCGTCGTTCTGTAGCGAAGGATAGGTACGCGGGACCGAAGAAACAAATATATTTTAACGAGATAGGGGGAAAAAAAAAAGACGGGCGGAGTGTGTATGTGCGCGATAATAGAGCTTTGTTTGTTTACTGGAGAGATGCGTCGCGGGGGTACGTTTATTGCGGATGTTCCTTTTCCACGTGAAGATGACGTTGGGCTCGTAAAACTATAATATCACTAGTCTGTTTGCGCTGGATTATTGGACGCGCGGTCGTCGAACGGCATGTGGTCTCGGTCGTCTACCGAACACACACACACACACGCACACGCACGCACGCGCACACGCACGCACGCGCGCGCGCACGCGCGCGCGTACACTACACATAATACACATTCACACAATTGGGAAGTTTAGGTACACCGTGGGAACAGAGCTTTATTTATCTGTGTTGTGTTTTCGGGATTACTGTATCGCAGAGAAGCTGTAGGACATCCGAAAGAAACACCCTGTCGTTCTCATCGTGTCAGCGTCTACAGTTTTAATGCTTACCGGACCGTCGACAGCGTAACTGAGAAAATCGTCGTTATGGCGCAGTGGTCGCCTACATTTAAACTCCTTGCCTAACTGCGCATGCGTACGTAAAAAAAGAAAAAAAAAAGGTGGTGGTTATTTTGTTGACATTGACTGGAAATTGTTTATATTTTATTGCGTTATATAACGTATCAGAGTAGCCGCCGATCGTTTCTACGATGCTGACCCTGTAAATTAGCGATGGTCTCGTGTGCGCGTCGGCTCGTTTTCCTGCAACGTCCTCTCCTCCCCGCGACGCTGGTGGACTGTGGAGAAGCGACCGCGTGGGACGGGATCTCGCACAGACGTGCACTTCATTGCGGGTGGCCGGTGAAGCTACAGGACAACCTGATACGCTACGCGCGGCATAGCACCCACAAATTGAAAATGTGTAGCGAAAAAAAAAAAAAAAAAAAAAAAATCTTTTGTAGTTTTTTTTTGTTTTTTTTTAGTAGCTATGGCTATAGAATATATTTGCGTTATAAATTAGTCAAGAAATTGATTACGAAAGGGACGGCTCTTTGGCCTAATGGGGAAGACGAGAGGGAAAGAAGAGGGTTAAGTTCATGTTACAGTGTTGGCTATAGCGCATACTGCCTAGAGAGTGAGAGAGAGAGAGTGGTAAGACTCTATGGTCGGCGTGTGGAACGAATTCACTCGTATCCGAAAATGTGTGCGCGTCTGTACTGCTTCTACCGGTGGTGATTCTCCGGTGCAGGGCAGTCCGAGATAAGGTGTCACATATGGTAGGTTGGTTTGGTTGCTGGTAGGAAAAAAAATACGTTATAACTGTGACTTGATTGGCGCCGTGTGACTACGCTCTCGCGATATTCATTGATTTAATCGTGTGTTGTTGTTTTTGTGCTCATAAACAGCTGACGCCTTGTTAATGGTGCACAAACAGTGAGATTACGAATTAGTCCGAAACAACCTGAATGTCCGAAACAACTTGAGTTTAAAACGTCAATGTGCAGCACACGAGTGTTGTATGAGGGAGCGCTGATTGAGATTATTTGATTAACAAAAAAGTGGGAGAAACTCCAAAAACTCGCCCTGGAACGTGAACGTGAAATGATGACGTGAGATTAGGGTAAGGGAGTGATCCATGAAGGCATTCATTCAAAAATATTAAATCGCACTCAGGTCTTTTTGACCTCAAAGTAGCTGGGGTAATAGACCACGCGATACTTGACGCTACCAAGCCGCGTGCGTAGTGCTGCCAGACCACCAAGGAGTTTTGCATATCGTCTATTGCACCGAAGTCTCGTATAATTATAATGCACAATACAACCGATGTAACGGTCCTAAAAAAATGTTTTTCAAATAAACTTTTTTAACACGTTTTATCATCACTTAGCTAGTATGTTCAATGCAGCTCCAAACAACAGATGAGGAAAACTCAAGCTTGGATCGAATTAACGAAACGTATATTCGTAACACGCAGTTTGACTCGGAAAACTCGCACGTAATTCCAGAAATGACACCGAGCACACGAAAGGAAGCGCCAATGATGTCCCGGGCATCTTCTTATCGCTCCCAAGTCATCGAGATTGTGGTATAGGCCTGTTTCTCTCGCCCAGGGGGCGCTGTCGCGTCAACGAGACGCGACCTGATAAGAGGCGCATCCGCTAGCGTCCGTGAGACGCGACCATTTAACGCTGACTTGAAGCGGCGTCCTAGCGTCCAACAGCGTCCTAACGGCGATCAACGAGCGCTTAGTGTATAAGCGTCTGTCAGCGCCTCTCCATGCGCGCTAACAGAGCCTTCTGAAAGGACGCGACGCGACGTAGAAAGGAAACGCGACCGAAAAACATCAGAGTTTGCTCTCTAGGGTCACCGCTCAAAACTCGATAGCTACAGGTCATTGCGCAGCGCAAGTTCGTCTGCTTCTTGAACAGGGGTTGCAATGATGTCAGAACGCGGGGTCTTATTGACTGATTGAAAGAATAGTGGGTAGACCTCAAGGCATCTAGCATCGAGGTCTACCCACTATCCTTTCAATCAAAGCCAATCAGAGATCGGCGTTGTTCTGACGTCACTGCAACTGCAACGCGAGGAGCAGACGACTCGCATTCCGCATTAGCCGGTAAGGACGCCTAAAAACGAATCAGAAAGCAAAAATAGCACGTAATGAACCGCGCTTTTTTTGAGCTCTGAGCTAACATGGATGTCTCTTGGGAACGAAGTTTGTGTCCTCTCGGCCAGGAGATCGAAATATTATTTACGATAGCTGAAGAAAAGTTTCACGGTTTATAGTGCTTGATCGCCTTTTTTTTATAAATCTGCTGTTAGCTATATATAACTTTTTTTTTTATGTTGTGAATGCAATGCACATGCAGAAAAAAAAAAAAGATGTTCTCGCGCACACATGGGGCATGGCGACACACTTAGAAGAGTCTAGTAAAATGAGCTAATTCGCTTCTTTTAAACCACTGAGTTCAATTAACAACGGAAATTAAGTTGTGCTAGACCAATTTTAGTTTAAAATTATTGAAAATCGTAAAAACGCCATTTTCAAAGGGTTAACGAAAGTTTCCTGCGTTTTTCATAACTATAAAACATATGCATTCTAACCAATCCCAGATAGTTGCATTCTACATAATCTGAGGCACATATGTGCCAAATTTGGTTGTGACAGGGCAATATTGATAACAAACATTATTGTGCACATTCTGCAGTGATGAAAGTGCTGCGCCATTTGCACCAAATTGCGCCATGAACGAAAGTCTGCTACGTCTTGCGCCAAAGCGCCATTTTTGCTCAGAATCGCGCCACACCTGCACCAAGATGGGCAAATAAAGAAAAATATCATTAGGCGAGTTTAATGTTTAGAGATGTAGTAGGAAAGAAAAATGGTACAAATATGTATTTCAGAGCGTCCAAGGCTCTAACACACACAACCACCAACACATAGTAAACGCGCGAGTCTCGCGACATTCGCTGCACTTGATTCGTTTATAGTCGATGAGCAGATTTTGTGTATTTGAAATAACAATTTGAAAAGAAAGCAAGCAAAGCAAAGCAAAACCATTCATAGGAAGCAGTCGAATGCCATGATGTCGCGCTTTGATGCTGGTTGGTTGATGCGCTGGCGGATTGACCGCCGACATCGTCTACATTTCCAGACGATGTCGGCGATGTGAGGAGCTAACAGTCGCGAGAAAACAATTACTTAAATTGTACGATGGCAGCTGCTGTGATAACACAGAACCAGGGTCTTGTACTCCTTGCGAGATTACTTAATTATCGTGTCTAGGGCATGCCTCTCGGCCGCCTTTTACCAGCGCGCGCTCATGGCGGGCTTCACCGCTTTGCACCGGAGTGCTAGGTGCTGCGGCTGTGAGCGCCTGGAATAGCGTCATAGGCTCAGTAATTATGCTCATTACTATTCCAGGCCTACTTTGTTTTTGTCTTAGTAATAAGTTAATCTCCAATTAAAAACAAAATATGCGCCGAGAGGTAAAAAAAAAAAAAAAAAAAAGCACCCGGATTTGAATAAATGCTAGTCGAGGTTGCTCTCGTGCAGCTGTCGATCGAAAGAATAGCAAACTTTGACTTCCCTCTGGTTCCAACACCGGTGGTGTCACTTGCGCGATTGTCTAGGGTTTTCATAATATGTGGGTGCCTTGTTTTGGCAGTTCGTAATATTGAAGTCTCAAGTTTGGTGGATTCATACAACTTGGGGGCGCATTCTTTGTTGATAGACGAGCTGGTTTTTGCAGGTATTTTACGGGACTTATGTATGCAGGCTAAATAAACTACCGACTGTAAAAGTGCGAGGGGAAAGAAGCTTTATCCCAGCCGAAGTGTTTGCGCTATGATTCATTTTTCATCAATTTTCTTATTATCCATTGCAAATGGAACCCTCCCTGACTAGAGCATTTTATTTCTAAAAGGAACGCTCTGTATTCCTTTGGCACAAGATCTCGTCTTATTGCAAAACGTAATAAGAAATATGCTTCGGTATCAGAGAGAACCCTTCAGTCATTATCAAAGATACTCATTTACAGATGCAATCACTTTTTTTTTCTTCTCATTTTTATGTGATGTGATAACAGATGTTAGCATC